CTACTGCTACTGCTACTCCTACTGCTGCTACTACTACTACTACTACTACTACTATTACAACTACTACTACTACTGCTGCTGCTGCTGCTACTACTACTACTACTACACATCCATTCTGTGCATTGCTATGTTATGCTATTGCGTGCTGTGCCACGTTATGCTATTTATTATCTACTTACCTACATACGTGCATAGGGCTAGTAGCCCTCCACCCAGCCAGCCAGCCCGCCAGACAGGCTGCAAGCAGACAAGCAGTTTTGTGTTTGTACACGCATACATATATATATATGTATGTGTATGTGGGCTTGGTAGGGGAGATACACATCCTTTGCCTTGTGAGGAGACGGATGTAGAGAGGGATCATGAAGACTGGCACTTGGGGATCTTGGAAGAATCCTTCCAAGCCACAGTGCCTCGGATGTTTAGCAACACTGCATGATTCAACGTTTATGCGAGACGTAAGCTCAGGTCTGGCCACCCACAGAGTCGGAAGCGGACACGGGCTGCGAGGAGCGGATCGTCTGTCGCCACCTGGGATCCCAGCCCAAGGATGTGGAGCCCGAGAGCCAGGGCTACGCTGCGGCCTGGAGATTCATAGCCGAGCTCCCCACCGATGCGTCGGAGGGGGAGGACGACAAACTCCGGAGCCCAACGCCTGTCTGCGACGCAGAGCTTGTGCCAGAGCCTCCAACGATCCCGCCGCCTCACGTTCCAGAGTCGGATCTCCTCTGCGACGTCCCGCAAGCAGAGCCCCTCCGACGGAGCGCACCGCCCTGTGCCTCCGAGCCCAGCTTCGCGCCCGCGCCCTCCTTACAGACCGCCCCGCAGCAGGACGAGTCCTTCCCGAGGACCAGAACAACTCTTCATCTAAGAAAGACTCGAACACAAAGGAAGTTTACATCCTACGTTGCAGGGATATCATGGCTTCTTTTCTAGTGCATTCTTAGGTCTAGCTAAACCAAAACATAATGTACAGTTGGCAATGCGGCGGAATGTGTTCCTAGTTCTCAGTTCATGGCGTTCACTGCATACTCTTGCCTGCCTTGAAAGCTCAGACTACAACCCGCCAACACCTACCAGCCAGAGCCTGCCGAAGCACGAGATCCCTTCCTGGACACGCTTGAGAGTGAACCCAGAGACACGCCATCCTGCAATCGAGGACCTCACCTTCGGTCTCTCCTTTGCGAACCTGCTTTTGCTATGCCTCTCCTCTCCGGAGACAGGGCTGCACCTCATAATCCTTGGAGTAAGACTCTTAATCGTCTGCCCGACAGCAGCCCAAAGGTACATCTTCTGGGGGAGCTCGCAAAAAAACCTATGAAGTTGAGAACTCATGCCCCAAATTCCGAAGACTTGCCGGGTCTGTCGGCAGCTTCAGAAGGTCTGTCTTGACTCCGGGGAACCCGCAACCCCAAACCTCTGACATCATGATTTAGTGGACGTTGGAGGTGATGGTTGCGACGATGAGAGTTAGGATGAGGCCGAGGTGGACGATGGCAATGATGGTGATGATGAAAATGATGATGGTGACGATGGTGACGATGATGATGATGATGATGAGGACAATGATGGTGATGATGATCAAGACGGTGGGTTGTCGATCTCACCTCCTGACACCTTATGGCCGGGAGTGCTTAGAATCGAGACTTGCTAGTAGGGGTAGGTTTAAGTCATCCCAACCCCACGTGCCGCAGGGTTTGGGCTAGTTTTCAATACCTCTATCATATGTTGCTTCCCATCCAGCCTGTAGTTTCTGCGCGATCTAGTGCTGTGTGCGGTCTTTCCTTGAGCTTGGATCTGTTGTGATGCCACTCGTGTCTCGAGTTGGTGCTTGCGTACCCGAGCGTCTACAAGGGGACTGGCTGGCTTTGATTTGCTGTTTGCAGTGATACCACTGACTAACGCGTTTCTTTTGGGGGCTTCTTGCAAAACCGAGCACCTACATGGGAAATTTTGCAGATCAGACATGATAGTCAAATCACCACAGACCTCCGAACCTGGAGTGGCCATGAACATCTTTGAGAAATCCGAAGAGCTGACTTTCTCATCCGTCATGTTCTTAAAGGAAGCCGGCGCTGAAGTCCCCCAGTTCCTACTAAACTCATTCAAACCCTTCACGCCAAGGAGAGGCCTTCCCGAGCTGGATGCAAGAGCCGACTGGGAGGCTACGAAGTCTTTGGTTGTGAGGGTCTCTTGGAATGCCCGAGCCCTTAAGAATCATACAATTTTCTCGGGGCTGCCACAACCAGTCGCAAGCACATATCACCCATATCGGATCCCATCCAGAAGGTTATCAGCAAATACAGCACCTGTAAGCTTCAGTTTGCTTCATGCGTGAAGGCTTCGCAGGTACTGACACTGAAGCAGGCGTATGAGACAGGTGCCTCACATTTGTAGAAGAATAGTCGAGAATTTTAGTGGACTGCAGGCTGTGTTTGAGGTGAGTCCTGGGTATGGGGCTCAGGACAATTAACCTGATCAAGCCAACCACAGCCAGCATCACTTGACACATCGTGGGAGCAGCAGTATGTGCACATAATAGTCAATAATATTGCTGGCCATCACGAGTGCTGCTACCGTTAGTGATTGAGATTGAAAAAGTAAGAAGGCGGTGAACAAGACGGCCGGAATACATAGAATGGTGTAACCCGTTCTGCCTAGAAGAGGGTCATGTCTTCCAGCAAACCTTTACGTAAACCTCAGAACTCAGACCATGGCTTCACCGGATCCGGTTGTTCAGTGTTTCAGGGTTATGTGACGGCCAGAAACCGGAAACCCGAAGTGTCGACGGGTGATCGTGATTTTGGCCCTGAGTCCTGACATCAGTACCAGAACAGACAACCGGGGGAAAGAAACCACAAGCGTCAGTAGTCGTCAGGCCATCCAGGCAGAAGGAATCGATGTGACCGTGCAGACGGCCACGGTCAACGCTGTGCAGGAGGCACCAAACTTCCGGATATTAAATTAAATTAAATTATATTATAATTTATTAAATTATGTTATATTATGTTGTATTATATTGTATTATACTGTATTATATTATATTATATTATGCTACATTATATTATTTTTTAGAAAACTATATATCATTATACTGTTAAATAAAATGAGGGGAGCCTAGGGCTGGTCGTGCCTGGTGTTCTCGGTGGCAAGGGTCGGTCGCGAAATTCCGGCTCCGAATCTTTAGGCTTTAACCTCTCCGCTTTTCAGATCTTTTTCTTGTCCTGGGCCGGCAAGGTTCTGTTGAGCCGCACACGCCTGCAGCTCAGCTTCTGCTGCTGAGGGTTTCAGAGCCGAGGTTGGGATACGGGATGCTACAGGTAGGCAACATGCCTCTGGTCTCCAGCTTTTGGCCATGAATCGTGCTGTGGGGCTTACCTGTGCAGGTCCGGACATTCTCCACATCTCTGCCCACTGCACTACGCTAGGCACCAGCGATGCAACCTCTGAATCTGTCTCCGTTCAATCTGTCTCCGTTCCTTTGTACAGCAGCTCCTGTGTCTATGTTTTCGACGGCGAGGTAACCGTGCGCAGCTTTGCATGATCCGGGATCGTGCAGGGCTTCGCTGCCACCACGTTCGGGTAGACTGTCCGGCGCGCTTCACACGCAGTAGAATGTACTGGCCATGCAACAACATCTCCGTGCATTTACGTGTGAGGTAGCGTGCTTAACACAATGGTGCAGCTCAATGATGGGAACACCTCAAGACCGGGTCATATGCCTTGTCAATACTACAAGAAGTTGGAGTCCTCGTCACCTGGGGCCATTGATCTCAGAGGATACGATCTGTATGAGCATCTTCGGTTGCAGGCGAGTCACCCTGCATGGTCTTGGAAGGAGCCCGGCGGATCGGCGTTTCAAGTGGGAACTGGAAGACGTGAGGTTCCAGTCGGGGTGTATGAGGCTACTGGATAACCTCATCCCTTATGATTTCTGGCTACGGTACCTGCACGAATTCGATCCTTCGAGTAACATTCTCGTGTTCACCCTTTTCACGGCAGTTATACGTGAAGCTAAGCCCTGAGGTGCAGCCCCGAAGCCAGGCTAACATAGCCCCTGTCACCTGACAGCACAGATTACTGCCTGCGTAGGAGCAGATGGTAGCGCGGACATCGTGAACGTGCACGACTTCGCAAACCTTGGGTGGCGACGCCCTCGGATCTCCGATTCCGGGCGGGGGAGACTCTGCGGCGATGCCGTGATGAGTACGCTCTGGGTGACTTTGAGCAGTTTTCTTAGATCCGAGCTGTTCTCTGCCGATTCCGCGCCAGACTCCGATCCGCGCCTGACAAGGTCTCTGGATGCCAAGCCGCCAAGGACTCGACCCCCGAAACTAGTGGAGCACGGCTGTGTTGGCTGTAACTTACAAAAGGCCCAGGGCCTCCAAAAGCCGCACGAAACTGTCGGCAAAGTCTCAAATTTCATGTTCGACCAAAAAGAGCAGAGAAGCCCTCCTCAACCCTTACCTTAAGCTGAGGTGGGGAGGCATCGAGTTGTTAGTGCTGCTGGCCTGTGGCTCCCAAGCCGTGGTTCAGAGGCGCGGAGGCTGCTGAAATTCGGGTGCAGGGTCGGGAGTTTTCGGGTTGAGGCCGAGGCTGCAAAAAGAAGAGCCACCAGGGCATGTGCACTGCAGCGATGCTCACAAAGGTCAAGGCTGCGCATACGCGCACAGCCTGGATTCTGTCACGGGGGAGCCAAGAAGACTTAAGCTCCCGAAAGTTCTTCTATTGATACGAGCCAGCTACCTTCGCCTGACCTGCTATTCTTGCGAGCTACTCCTCCCACAGGCTCCGAGTTGTTTTCCCGTAGTCGATTCAGCATGCGCACTTGAGCATTTTCGGCTGTGGATGTCTTTGCCTCACTTTGCGTCGCCTCGAGAAGCGCCACATGGCATGAATTGTGCAAAACGGAATACATCGAGGGCAGCACGCGGTGATCTGTGGCGTGTCCTTCGGGTTGTGGTGACCGATCTGATGCAACGGACGTTCTATGTGCGTCTGTTGGTGGAAGGTGAACCTGCAACAGTCAGTTCGTGCAAAGATGAATGCGCAAGCAGTTTTCCAGCTGGTTCGTGAGGCTGGTAAAGTGGTAATTGAGGCTTCTTGTTTGAGTCGTGAGTGGGCCGCGAAGGTGAAGGCATGGCATATGTCGGCATTGCCTGCTGCTTGAGGGGCGGCTAGCTGTTTCGTTTTCGTGAGGGGCTTGAACGGCTGAGCCTCGCGCGTTGCCTGGCGCTGCTCGAACTCCTGGATGCAACAGCAGAGAGAGAGAGAGAGAGAGAGAGAGAGAGCGAGCGCGCGAGGGGGGCTTTCAGCTTTCCCTTTGTCTGTGTTGAAGAAGAGAGAGAGACGCGTTGGGCACATCGGGAGGGAACTAGCACGTCTTCAACCCCGAAAGGGGCCTCGCAGACTCACCAGCGCGGACCGAGTGGGGTAGGCCTTTGTCCCAGGGGACCCAGTCCCCATACCCCTAGCAATCAAGCAAGAGAGACGCGTTGTTATTCGGGATGTGTCAAGTCAAGTCGGTGCATTGCACCAAAATATGTCCTGGACTTCCTTCCTCCGACAGACTGTTCAGACCTTGTGTTTCTTGTCGTCTTTACCTGGCAGCGACTAAGTCTCCTAGCAACCTCGGTGTTCTGGTTTTCTAGTTGCGACATGGGGCTTCGATTGCAGTTTTCTGGATGTCGTGTCCTTTGCATCTGTCGGTGTTCAGGTTTGCGGTTTTCAGGTGTCCGAGGGCGCACCGCTGCGTCGCCCAAGCCCATGGTGCTTAGTGTGCCTCCTGCTGGTAGATGTTGAGTTTTTGAGCCAGGCCCAGTCTTATCGACCGAGGCTATGGGTGAATTAGCTCGGAATACGAAAGAAAGTATGTATGTATATATATATATATAGATATAGATATATATAGATATAGATATATAGATATAAATATATAGATATATATGTATACACACAGGCGGTGACGCACATGCATCCATGCATGAATACATACCTACATTCATACATACAGACCTATGCGTGCGTGTAAATGCATGGTTATGGGAAAGTTCCACTCCTTCGTGCGTGTGCATGTGGATCTATAGTATGCCATGCGGACCAGCACGCCAGGATTTGTTTGCATTTTTGCAATGGGTTTCCGCGAGACATCACGAGACATGGCTCATGTTGCAGGATAGCCGTATCAGAAGGCAAAGCCAAGGAAGAACCGTTACGAAGCTACAGCAGGCGTAACGGGGGTAGTAGAAGCAGGAGCTCTGTTGTAGTATTCTTCGCATTCTTATTCTTATTGTTATTGTTCTTATGAGGATTAGTACTGGTACTCGTATATCTGCTGGCTCCAGGCTCATGAACGGGCGCGGTCTCCGGCGGGCAATTTGCTGCAGCTTGGTCGCTGACTCTTCTTTTTTTTGTCAATCTGCCTCCTATCAGCACGTGCTGCTAAAGACAGGCAGTAGTAGTGAGCAGCATCAGAATCCCAAAACGAGCACTGCAAGACAAACAGAAGGGCAAGTCATATAATAACTGCTAGAGTCATCGAAAACGGCAGAACATTGCTCAACGGCTAGTGATGAGATTTGTATTGTTCTAGCTGCTTTTCCTGTTCTTTTTGGACTACTTACACGGTTGTGGTGATTTTTATCGCTACTCCGCAGTCACTTTCCTCTTCTGGTAGTGTCGCATTTCCACGTTCAAAGGCTGGAAGTAGGAGTGCATTGCAGTTAGAGCTAGGGCTTTCGTCGGAGAGCTTGTTCTTCAATCGACAACCGAGGCAACAACATCGTCCTCGACTCTGCGGCCCAGATCTTCTGCAGGATCTCCGGGATTTCAACCCCAAGCTTAAATCCAACCGGCAGCATATCAAGGAGCGTCACTCCCGTTATGACAGTTTCTCTTGTGCTGACCGAAGACTGCAAGGACTTTCTACACGGCTTTGGGCGCCGGCCAGGCCCGGACCAGGTTTTGACACGAGGTAGGATCTCAGACCCGCGGCATGGGCCAAAGCTGTAAGGTCCAGGCTGGCAAGATCTATCAGGTCGCAACTCCGAAACCTATGGTTGCAGCTTGTTGCAGTCATTGACGTCCGTACATTTTGGGGTGCTTTCGATTTCGAACCCAGAGTGTGCGACGTGCCCGCAACTCCAAGCCCCGAATTGCCAATCAGAATCGGTGGTAGCCGTATCGGTCCCACCGTCAGCAAGCATGACACATACCGCGCGACATCTATCAACTCTAAGCAGCCCCTGGTCTTGCCTGTCGAACGAGTCGCCCAAGAGACCACAAAACTACTGAGTGGTTGCTTTCTTCGAGCGCACAAGGGCGATTGAACATAGCTAGATGGTTTTTCAAATCACCATTGCAAGGGCCCTGCCAGCAACTTCTTGAACAGCGCGCCCTTATCCACTTGTGCAACCAGTCGTGGAAGTCGCAGGACTTCCTGTAGAATGCCTCGCTGTCACTGCACGAGTTTGTTCGTGCATGTGATGTTCGCGATGGCCTCCGGCGCATTTGGAAGCTCCCGGGACCAGGGAAATCCGGCCTGCTGGTCGGGCACCTTCTCCTACGAGTATTGCTGCAGCTCCCGTCATGGAGCTGAAGGCAACTCGGAGTGTTGGGATGGGCACTACAGCTTCAGCCACTGTTGCCATGAGCCGTTGCACTCTGCTTCTCCCTCGGAATGTTGGCAAGAAGCACGGGAGCGGCTTCAGAACTCCGAGGACCCCTTGGCCAAGCACCCGTCCCTAGGGAATCCGGCGAACTTGGCAGTGTTTTGCTGCCATGCTTCGCACCTGAGCTCGGAAGCCTGCTGGGGTTCCAAGGAGCCGGGAGGCTCACCGATCCTCTCGGATGCCTCCACGGGAGAGCCCCTGGGCTTCACTCGCCGCCATGTTGAGTGTTGCTTCCCAGAGTTGCAAAGGTTGGCCAAGGACACCCCTGCAGAATGGATGGCACAGCAGCTTGACCATGATTTCCTAAAATGGGAGGGCCAGGAACCGATCCGGGGATCCGACATGGATGCTTTCGAAGCCGCGATGGAGGTTGCCGGTCGCGGCGCGGAGCTGTGTCGATTCCGATTGAGAAAGACGGGCATCTATCACTGTGATTTCAATCGATCCAGGTACGTCTCCCTCCTGCATGCCGTGAGGGCGGCGCTTCAAATTCTTCACATCATGTTCGGCCTGCCTGAGCTCGATTTGTTCATACATACTGGCGAATGCCTCGGTATCCATGTCGCAGCCAAACCCCAGACAAACCTGACAGTGCCAGTGCTTGCGCAGGCTCAGCTTGAAGGGTCCAGCGGGATTCTCATGCCGTGGTGGGCATTTCTGCAGATTGACTGGACACGGCGTCTTAGAGAGAGGCTGCAGCAGGCGTCATCGAAGCTGGCGTGGCAGGAACGCCGAGACGTCCTGTTTTGGCGTGGATCAGACACTGGATGTTTGATGGGTGGGCTGGACAACAGTACGGAATGTGCCCTTTGGAGTGCGAGCACGTGGCCACTTTTTCCACGGTCCAAGCTGGTGCTGGCATCATCTTTATTCCCATCTCGTGTGGATGCTTTGTTCACCAAAGACACGGTACACAAGGAGTGTGAGGACGTCTACGATTCCAGCAGATTGCGGATTGAGGAGATAGTTCCACCAGAGGTGCATGTCCGGTACAAGTATTTGGCGTACATTGATGGCACTTCATTCTCAGATCGCTTATACTGGCTTTTATTGACCGACTCCGTCGTTTTTCGTTCCAGCTCGCGAATCCGTGTTTGGCTCGATCAAGGCCTGCAAGCGTGGAAGCATTACATCCCCGTTCTTGGAAACCTTGCCGATCTGATGGACCAGCTAGAGTGGGCGAAGGAGAATGATGGCCAAAGTGCTGAGATTGCAGCTGCTGCATCAGCATTTGCGAAGAACCACTTGACGCTCGAAGGGAGCTTGTTCTACTTGTACCAGGTTCTTCTGCGACTGTCGGGTGTCGTCCAAATGTCTCCGGATGAGCTGCTGCATGATCCTCCCGAGCTTGCTGCCCAATCTACTTTCCAGGATGAGATCGCTTTCGACTGCTGGGCCTTGGGGTTCACCCCGGAATTCTGTTGCAACGAGGATCAGTTTGGCCCTGGCGGCAACACTGCATGCTGGGACGGCCCATACACCTTCGAAGCTTGTTGTGGGGGCTTTTCAACAGGTTCTGACCTCAAAAGATGACAGCGCATAGGGGCAGGCCAAGAACCCGGAGAAGCGAAGGTCGAAAACATGCCGAAGAGGCCTCACCGCGTGAGTCAATCCGAGTTTGAGCGCTGACGCCCGCCTGTGTCCAAAGCCCTCTCCTGAACCTCAACATGACTCATATGATGGCAGAATAATAGGATCCGCAGATCGAATCAAGTACCAAAATCGAGGATTGTCAAGGGAGGTTGCCCTTCTATACCTTCACAGTCCCGTGGTGTGGAGCCGTTCCACATGTCGAACATGAGCACCATTGGTGAATGGGCTACTCATACTTTGCAAGACGCCACTTCAAAACGACACAGCATTTTGATGCCACAGGAAGCATCAAAAGCCACCGGGGCATAACTGTTTCACCTTTCCCAGCATGCAGTCAACCTGCGGTTTCTGAGGGGCTAGGCCAGGTCCGTACAAAGAGGGATCCTACTTCGGGTGATCTTCACTGTGAGCTTTCCTCGTCGACGTATACCCTTGCACCTCGAACGGATGTGTGGTTTCTCACCTTCGATGGCCCCTAGTCTCGCCCTTCACCCTTTACCCATGAAGCTAGTCCTGTTGCGCTTCTGTGCACTGCACCGTAGGTGCACCCTCATCCCTGAGCCCAGTTGGAAATCCCGAAACCTGAAGCCCGACCTCGTCCAGCCTCTACCCTGAACCCTTTGAAGCCTAGAAGCCCTCAAGCCGACGTACTGCCTCGCCCGGCTGCACACCCGAAGCCCTGAACCCGAAGCCCGAAACCTTCAGCCCTTCGGTGATGAAAACGGAACATCCTTGCGAAATCGAACGTGAGATCTTTGTGGAGCCGGCTCACCAGATCTTAGCTCCACTGGTTTCCTGCATTGTCTATCCAGTGCTAAGCTGCTTGTTAAGTCTTCTCAGTCTACTGGTGCGAAGGTGTCAAATGCGCCGTAGATCACTGTAAGCAGCTTCAGCTTCGCATTGCGGCAACCCGCATCCCGCGCCACGCCTCATGGCGCCAAAGAAGCGCCCCGCGGCAGCGGTTGTGACAGCTTCTGGCTTGAAGCGCCCTGCGACAGCGAAGATCGCCGCAAAGAGGCCGGCTTCACGGCAGGATTCAGTGGCGCTAAAGAAGCGCCCTGCGGCAGCGGCTGTGACAGCTTCTAGCTTGAAGCGCCCGGCGACAGCGAAGATCGCCGCAAGGAAGCTAGCTTCACGGCAGGATTCAGTGGCGCCAAAGAAGCGCCCTGCGGCAGCGGCTGTGACAGTTTCGGGCTTGAAGCGCCCGGCGACAGCGAAGATCGCCACAAAGAAACCAGCTTCACGGCAGGATTCAGTGTCGTGCCCACACTCCGTGGCAAATTTTTGGGAGGCGCTGGTGACAAGCCTGGAGCTCCACCTCAAAGTAGATTTCCAGCGGCAGTTGTTCTCTGGTGACTGCAAGCTTGTGGTAGACAAGCTAAAGCCTGGGGTATGTGATGTCGTTCTTGACGTCCTCGATTTGGCCGTACATGGCATCACAGACGAAGATGGCGAGCCGGTCGGGTGGCATGTGGAGACGCCTCACGGATCCAAAGCCAAGTTTGGAAAGGCATTGTTTGTGACTCTGCCTCCAGGCAAACGATCCAAGATTTGCGTGCGCTATGAGACAACAGAGAAGAGCACGGCAATTCAGTGGCTAACCAGGGAACAGACCACGGGCCAGAAGCACCCGTTTTGCTTTACACAAAGCTGCGCAATATGTGGGCGATCACTTCTTCCCTGCCAGGACACCCCGTCTGTCAAGGCTACCTTCTCGATTAGCGTCACGGTCCCAACACCGCTTACGGCTGTGGCATCCGGAGAACCTGTGGGGGAACCCACGGAGGCAGATGGTCTGCGCACCTTCACGTACTCACAGAAGGTTCCTGTAATGTCCTACCTGATTGCCGTAATTGTGGCTGAATTTGAATCTCGAGTCATAGGGAAGCGTAGCCGCTGCTACGCTGAGCCAGCCATCATGGAGGCAGCCCGGCAGGAATTCAGCGAAATCGTGGACACATTCTTGGAGACCGCTCAACAGGTGATTGGTGGTGCGGAGTATGAGTGGGGTAGCTACAACGTGGCGGTGTTGCCTTCCTCTTTTGCCTATGGGGGCATGGAAAATCCTAATTGCACCTTCTTAAGTGCTTCATTGATTCCTGGTGACCGAAGCCTCACAGCCACACTGGCGCACGAGATTGTTCATTCATGGATCGGGAATTTGGTGACGAATGCGTACTGGAAGGACTTTTGGCTGAATGAAGGCTTCACCCGCTATATCGAGCGGAGAATCCTGGGCAAGATTCACGGCGCTGCTTTTCGGGGCCTTCTCCTCCTAGTTGGGTACAACGACCTGGTCAAGACCGTCGACATGTTGAACAAGCAGGGCAGCTCTGGGTTGACACGCTTGGAACCGGACATCGACGACATCGACCCGGATGACGCGTTTTCGCGAGTGCCATATGAGAAAGGCTCGCTCTTTCTATTCTACTTGGAGCAGCTCGTGGGAGGAGAGGAGCCTATGACGAAGTATCTGCAGTCTTATATCCAGAAGTTCCGCGGCCGCAGTATCCAAACAAGCGACATGAAGGCTCATTTCATCAAGTTCTTCAAAGGGGTGCGCAAGATAAAGCAAGTAGACTGGGAGCTTTGGCTTCATGGTGAAGGGATCCCCAACTTCGACCTCACGCATTACGTTGACAGGACCTTGCTCGAGGAGAGCCGGCAGGCGTCAGTTCGCTGGTTGTTGGAAACACCCCAGGATCTGCAGATCATGTCTCTCAAGGCGCAACAGGTGATGCTGATTCTGGATCACCTGATCAATGCGCAGGCAGCTGACCAAGGCCTGTCGCATGAGAAGCTCGCGGCCATGGATGCTCAGTATAATCTCTCTGGCACCAAGAACGTGGAGATTGGCTTCAGGTGGTGCCTGCTCGGATGTCGAAGCAAATGGCCCGGCTGCCTGCCGGCAACAGAGAGCTTCCTCGCTAGCCACGGCCGGGGCGTGTATGTGAAGCCATTATACATAGCCTTGAAGGCATTTGACGCCGCAAGGGCAAAGTCTGTCTTCGACAAGAACTGCCATTTCTATATGACTGTCATCTCTAGACAGATCAACTCCATGCTGAGCGAGTAGTTCAATTCGGATTCGAGCTTACTCCAACGAATATTCCGAGGTGAGAAATTGATAGCTGAGACTTGGCTGGTGGGCAAAATTGTACTGTTGCCATGCCTCAAAACCTCCTACTCTAAGATTATAATGGGCTCGTCCAAGCTATGTAGGAGGGAAAAAATGATTTTGATGGAGCCTTTGAGGCTGTGTGCATGTCCTTACATGGCCACCCAACTTGGGTCCAGGTGGTTTCTTTGCTTTGTTGCGGCACACAGCACGATTTCACCAAAAGCCAAGCCCCCTGTGAGGCCCTGCGCTCCAGCTTCGAAGCTGCTAAGGCGGGTTCGGGCTGAGGATTTTTTGGGTTCTGAAGCAGGATCTTGTAGGTTTATGGGGGGTGGTGTCAAGACGCATCTGCAGGACAACCGCCACCAACCCTCAAGCTCAGTCAGACCTTTGTTGCCATGCCTGCCTTGTGCGAGTGTGTGAGTCGAAACCGCAAAGGCGACCACCAATACTCCCACAAGTTTTGAGAAAGTTGGGTTGTTATTGTTAAGATGACTCAAGGGCGAGGTGAAGCTTGTCGCGGTCGTGAATCAGCTCGGGTTGGGTCTTGCAAATGGCTTGAATAGTTCAAAGCGCACGAAACTTCGGCCATGGTTGTTTCGTCTGCCAAGGCAAACATACTCGCATTGGTCGTCGTCTCTAGTGCAGGTCTTTCGTGTTTTCGAGTTATGGTGGTCGAGCGCGGTCACAAGTCTTGGCATTCGGGACAGGCAGGGACCCAGCGCTGAGGCAATTAGAAGTAGAGGGTTTGAGTTTCATGGGGCAGCCCACAAAAGCTGAAGCGGCAGTGGAGAAGCAAACATGCCAACTGTGAGTGCCGACGTGCAGGAGTGAGCCGTAGCTTTAGAGAGGGTGTCCTGCCACCCAACTCATTCAAACTTGTCAAGCAAGTCCGAGAGGGAGCATCGACGCATTACAATCCAGGCTTCCATCCGACACTCCTCTATGTCTTCGGGAGAGGCTCGCCAGCTTCTCTCTTGGAGGGTAGCGAAAGAACCGCCTGTGTTGGCATCTGGGTTTCGGGGAATTTGGACACTTGGATTCGAGATCTACAGATTGTTTAGGATGCTTTCGTATATGGGTCTGAGTCAGAAGGCCCGGTATCCAAGAACTGGCGCGGCTGAGCCCAGGCGGACAACCAGCATGACATGTCTGTGTCCGTATGCAGTTTCTGTCCCCCGCTCTCATTCCCTCTGTGTCCGCAAATTCCCACCAGCCACCAGTCCTCCATCACACCGTCGCGTCCTGCTGCACAGGTTGAGTCGCGCGTGTAACCCTGAGAATCGTGGCCAATCAGGCATGCAAGTTCGTGCTCCTGCAGCTCGAGAACCGCGACAAAGGGTCTTTAGTGCCTTGGCTGCCATGGACAAAAGATAGGACGACGAACACTGAAAAGCCAAACATGCCGCATGAAGTCGGAGAGCAGTATCCGGAGATGGAGGGGCTCGGAAGTCCGCGGTGCGGCCCTCGACACCATCCTGCCTTCAGGTTTCCAGCTTTTCGGACGGATGCATGTGCAGGTTCTTCCAGAGAGACATACTCCTCCTTCATACCAAGATTTGTCAAAACGCTGCAGCTTTAAACCCCACTGTAGAACAATCCACCCTAAACGTCCTACAACCTGCTAGTGTGAACTACGCAGCCTCACCGAGAGTCCAACTGATTCCCCTTTGAAGGTACCATGCACGCTGGAGCGTGCACTGCTTCAGCCGCACGAGCAGTTTGAGCTTCGAGCTGAGAGCCTCCTTTGTTCTGCTGGACACCTTCTTAGAGACGTGCTGTCAGAGTTGTCATCAGCATCATTATCCATGTAATCCATGATTTCCACGGAACAGTTTTTACCAGGTCTTACTGTTTAGCCTCTTTCCATACAGTTGGATGGAAGTGCAGGGCTGGACTGACGCTCACACATCGGCTTGGCATTTGCGGATGGCAGGAATCCCACTCCCAATTCTTCCAGGGCCCAGACTCTGGTGTAGAGAACCTCGGATCGGAGCCTCCCTTGGGTCCATGAGTGTGCTGTTGAGCTCAGGAAACTGGAATAGTGAGTGCACCGCCTCTAAGACTAGTGACGCATGACAAAGAAGCAATAACTGATAGCTCCAAATCCGGACCTCTCTTCGGTGGATGATGATGAGCGCTAGGCTCGGCAACGGCTTCTGAAGGGCCGTCTCATGTTGCCATTCCAACGAGCGGAAGAGTTAATGCCGCACGCATGCGAACCGCACGGTCCTACTCCTAACTTGGCGGTGTTGATGAAGTCCATCATAACATGCTAGCAGTAGTTGCGGTCGCACGAACTGATGTGCTGACACAAGAATCGCGTGTAGTGCGTAGTGTATGGATGCACAGTATGCTCGAGCGCAACTCTTAGACTCTTAGCCCAAGCCAACCGGGCACTCGCAATTTCAGGTGGTCTCAATGGCCTCGTGTGGAGGACTACATTGGCTGGGAACTTACTTGACCCGTTTGTAGTTGCATCTAGCTTGTGTTTGGAAGGCTTGGTTGAGAGTTTAGAGATGATGCTATTTGATGATTGTGCCGATTCAGAACCTTGAAACTCCAAAGCAAACCCCCATGCACGGCATAACCCCGAAACGGGAAGGATTGTGCCAATGAGAGAGATGAGTCGTGCATCCCACCCACTGGTGCGCAAACTTCTCTCGTGCGTGCACGGTCGTTCGGTAGTTGTACAGTCCTACGGCAGACACAAAGCCGACAGATACCGAAGACAGGAACGCTCCCATCAGACCCAGAAGGTCAGGCACAAGACATTCGCAGATTAATTAGGGTGAACTCCAAAGACAAGAAAGAGCTGCTCCCAGAGCACCTGTTCATGTGCACCTACTGCAACAGTCAAATGCATTTGAACCAGAACCCATTTCAAAGAAAGCATGCAGCTGTCATCTCACCGTTTGCTATGAGGAGCCTAACATGAAGGACTTGTCTCCATATAATCGTACTCTCATATCCCAGAAACTCCCCTTCTAATGATTCATGCCCCCATATGCCGCTATTGCGTCGTAAGCTTCCGAACCACCTGGTAACTCCAGGCAGAGAATCCGTGGCCCTCTCCCTTTCCAGCCTCTTTCAACGTCGCCGTGCTGTCTGCCTCTGGGGGCATGACCGGGCTTTAGCAAAGGGCTTCGGGGTTTCAGGTCTTTGAGGGTTTTCAGGAGGTTCGGAGGCCCTTGGACTTGCGGTTTTTCAGTCCCGAGATCCCGGAGGCTGCATCACGGAAGACTCCTCCTCGCCAGGGAGCGCTCATAAATCATGAGCGGCCTTATGCTTGGACATTCGCATGCTTGTGAGTGATGTCTGGGCGGTTTTTCTGAGGCTTTTGGTATCCCAGCCCATTATGCGAGTACATACCTGGCAGGAACCCAAAACTATGGAGCGCCGATGCAAAAAAAAACCGAGTCTTTGAGCATCCCTTCGTAGTCCCTGATCTTACAGGAGGGCAGTGGCAAGACCGCTCTGAGCATAGAGTTCTGATTCTTGGCAGCACCGTTTCCCTCGGTTTCGGATTGGCCCTCATGTTTGCATGACATGTTGCAGGTTGCTGGTTAAACTTTACTCTCCGCAGACGGCCCTCTCGTAGAGACCCGCGATCTCAGAGGTCGCAGGGTTACCAGGGCTCTTCGGGTTTGGTGGTGGATTGTTCCTTGGGGTTGCCTGGTTTCTGTTTGGATGTGAGCTTCTTTGTTGTTGTTGTTGTTGTTGTTGTTGTTGTGTGTGTGTGTGTGTGTATTTCTGTGCGTGTGTGTGTGCGCGCTACATTTAGGCAGTTGGTGGTGTTTCAAGGAAACAGACCCAGCTCAAGACTGGGTAGACCCCAGACGTGAGACAATTCCAGCGTAGATAGTGTCAACCTTGAATGAAGTAGTGCAAGCTAGCTTCAAGATCTAGGAAGCAGTCTCGCAGTCTCCATGCAATGGTACATGGAGGCTTGGCAACTCTGCACCCATTTGTAGCAGCCATAGTATTTTATAATATGCAGTATATTAGTATATGATGTATCTCCAAATCAGGCGTAGCTTTGCTCCGTCGAGGCCGTCACTTCTCGGCTCCTGGTGGTCGCCAGTTTTCGGCAGGGGCCTACCATGTCAGCTACGACCGCGCCGTCCGAGAGGCCGGCTTTGGAGGGAAGGGAGGCCTCGAGAGAGGGTTGATGTGAGTGCAATGTGTCCAGACATCTCTGGGGTGACGTCTCCTTCAAGTTTCCACCCTCGCATCCTGAATCTGTGATAGGCTGGTAGACGTTTCAGGCGGGCGGCCAGAGTGTGGCCGCACTTCTTGTACCACAGCTACTTCAGCAGCTTCGTGCCCTGGTTGCATTTAAGATATTGGCACTATAATAAATAAGCCTATAAGATGACGGTACTATGGGATAACGATACTCTACTAGGATGAGCTTACATGAATGGTGCTCGTGCTCGGACATCGTGCCTTGAAGCCTTGAAGAGCCCGCCAGCACGTGGTGAGAGAAGAGGGCCCTCGCTTGGAAGCTCGGACAGGCGAGAGCTTGGTCCTGAAACCTCAGATTACTTGACAACTTGCAACATTACATATTCTAGGTTACATTCGGTTACATATTACATAGTCTCTATGTTCTATATTTCATATCACAAATATATGCTATATATTATGCAGATTATATAAAATTATATACTATTCATTTTTCATTTCCGGGTCTGCAGAGCCGTCAAGCGGCGCGACCTGTCTAGCACATTGAATTCTGGTGAAACTTTTGGCTCGAGGGACGTACGTCCCAAAATGATGACGAAGTGGCCCTAGGGCCTTCACGAGAACGTCCAGCAACAAACTCGGCAACCCATGCCTGGAAGAGGGGGAAGAACATACGTGAAATGAGGCCCAAATCCAGGTCCTCGTCGGCTAAGTCCAACCGCTCTCGGGATGTGAGTTGCCGAGGCCCAGAGGCCTGGAGCGCAGGCTCCGTAACAACGTATGCTCCCCAATCACCTTTACGGAGCTGCCTAGAGGTCCTGACGACACCGGCCTCACCTAGTTTGACTTCTTCAAGAGAAAGGCATGGCACAAGAAGGCAGGTACGGAGCAGACACTGATCCGTACGTTTCAGATGCTGCTGGTGTCGGGAAACCGTGTGGAAACAGCGCAAACAGCTGACACACGTAACCCCATGCGCAAGGTGGCGCGCGGGCGCAAAGACCTGATGAGACCTGGCAAGGTGCACGAACAAGTGCTTGCGAAGCCTGAAGCGAGCCTGGCACCAGTGGCAGGAAAAGGGCAAGTCTCCGGACACAGGCGAAGCAGGCACGGCTCCCTGGACATCGGTTAAGCCGTTCGGAGGTTGAGGGGAACCGTCAGGCGGCTGTTGACAACGGACCGATGCGCACCAAGGTTGCATCTCAGCAACAGCACAACGGATAGCCGCCTTGACGCGGCCAACCCACCATTGCGGAGAATCCCGTAGGCGCTGGACCAGGGCACACAACCAATCAGCAGACGCCGACACATCACGAACCTCAGGCAGATATTGTGCCACATGCTGGACATCCTCAAGTAACATGCCGAGCCAGGCATGACGCGGGGACTCAGTCCAATGCACGAAAAGCAGATGCAAAAGCGAGGAGGGCCCCGACGTAAGAAGCTGCCGAAACAGCACCGCTCGGGAAAGAGCAAGAGCCAGGGGTGGAGTGGGGGCATGTGCCGTCCCCAGTACAGCATACGAGTGCCGGCAATGTTCTCCTGGCAAACGACGCCACAGGACCCTCCATAAGGCGACGAAATGTTTCGCCCATAATCGCTTATGCACGGCAGCGTGCAGAGGGAGTGCAGCTCCCCCGAACATGTAACGAGACATGACCAGGGATCGGAGCAAAAGACATCGGGTGGAAAAAGGAATACCATAGGCTGAGAACAGGCGGGACCGGAGTGGTCTGACGACCTTCAGAGCCAGGGAATGACGAAACCCTATTTCAGGTACCGGGGTGCCCGAGACAGTGGCGATGCCACCCAGGTGTCTGTAGGCCGAGACCACTGGCAGCCGATGGCAGGTGCCCGTAACCGGACTCACAATCGGAAGGAATTGTCCTTCCGAGTCCTCAAGCACAGGCACGGTCTGGCCAGAAACCTGGCTGAGCATGGCAGCTGTCTTGTCTGACGCAAAAGTGAGCTGCATGCCAATGGAATCAGCCTGACCCGTGAAGATCTCAACAGTGCGGACTACACGTGCAGAGATGGAGCTGTGACACTCTTGGGCAGCCAGATGGACAAAGTCATCAGCCCAAGAAGCACACGAAAGCTCCGTAGTCCCTGAAGGGGCCTCCCAAGGAGGCTGAGCCGCAACGGTAGGCATTTCCGTACGGATGCCCGCCCGATGCAGGGCCGCAGCTGTCGAAGCCAGATAGGCACTGAATGTAAAAGAGAACAGAATGTCAGCGAGGCAGTCTCCGGGTCGCACCCCACGCCTCGTAAGCGTAAGGGCAGTGCCGCAGTCGATGCGGAACCACGTTCCTTGCATAGCATCGGCAAGAAGATGGCAAAGGTGATCGGGGACCCCTGCGTCCGCCAGGATCCCGATACCTTCCATCTTCGCGGCGAGTTCCACGAGCGCCTGTGGTGGTACACCCAGCTCATGAAGTAGCTTGCGCAGGGCCCACTCCTGATCGCCCGTTCGGACCAAAATCTGCCTTAACACTCTGTAATAAGCGGCGCGCACATCGAAAAACGTCATGGACCATGCATGCTGGCGATGCACCATGATGTCGCGAAAGGTTCGAGCAGCCATGATAATAGCCTCTGTTGACACCCCCGGGAGTGCACCAGCTTGCAAATCACCTCGAACCTGTTGCAGAGGGGGAATGAGCACTGTACGGTATTGCCTGTGCAGGATCTTGCCAGGAAGGCTGGAGACCAAAATACTGCGGAATTTGTCCATGGAGAACGCCGCCGATGCCCGCTTAGCCAACGGAATGAGGGACCCCCCTCTAAACTCGATCGGCTCGTAAATAGTTAGTGCCGACTTGACATAGATGGACGCCAGCAGCCTTGCCGAAATTGGAGCGTGGACGCGCAGCAATTCAGCAGAGATCCCATCGTTGCCCGTCGCCTTACCTGATGGAAGCCCGAGGATGGTCTGCTCCACGTCCGCCAGAGTAGGAACACATCGGATGTCAAAGATTGGCCCCGGGCGGTCAACAACGGAACGCTGTCGCCTGAGCTCGGCGGGGTACGCCTCCTCTTCTATGAGGTCACCAGCTTCTTGCGCAGCAAAATGCATACGCCAGCACTCTTGGCGCTCCTGCGTACTGCCCGCCAAGTCACCGTTGGCATTGTACACCGCGGGTAACGGGCAGAATTGCGAACGCTTGCCTGTGCGGGAAGCAGGAAAAGCCCGGCGAACCCGTTGGTAGAGGAGTTTGGGGTCCTTCAGATCTGACAGCGAAACTTCATGAGCCAGCTTGGCTAAATATGCTGCTCGGTCTCCTTTGGCCGAGGATTTAATATACCTACCGACCCTGTATATTAGGAGCGCGGCCTGGGCGATACCAAGGAGAAAATGATCGACCCATATGCACAGGCCCGTAACTCCGGCTGGTCCCAGCATATCAGCATGAACTGAGGACCGCCATAGGAGAAGGCCAAACGCGAGGGTGCGACATCTATGCCATTGTTTCCAAATGTGGAGCTGGGATCGCCATGCTTTACGCCAAGCAACCAGTTGCATCGTGTCAGCAGAAAGGTAGGATTGCCGAGGCTTACGCTCCTCGGTCTGGCAAAGAGTTCGCCCCCAGCGGGTCCACTCTTGCACCAGGTGAGCATAGTGGGTATCAACCCCTACACCCCATCCTGCAGGTTGCGCTAAAAGGGCTTGCTCTACACCGGCAATGTAATGGGAGGGGTCGGTAACTTTGGTAGGCCGGACAGCAGCACGCGTGAAACACGCGTTACCCTCATCGTGGGTACGGCAGCACATCTTGGCACGAAGTACCAACGGAAAGTGATCATCCCTTAGCTGCAAGGACTCGAAAGTGTCCCAAACGAAAGTGCTGAGACCCGAGAGGGGCCACGTCAACGGTACAGCAATGTAATCAATGCGATGACATTGCCCGGTTGGCGACACCCAGGTGTGGCATACACCGCTGTGACACTCATCGAAAGTGGACGGCAGCTGCAGAGAGAACTCAGCCAGGAACTGGTGGAAGTCGGGAGCTGTAGTGGATTCTTCCTCCGCACCATGCGAGCTCACCGAGTCCGAAACCAAACCCCCGACCCTAGCATTAGCATCTGCCAGCAGAATAACATCTGTATCACGGGCGCATCGGCTGAGCACCTTCTTACATGACCGCCAAAAGGCAGCCGCAGAACCCTTAGCGGCAGGCGGTTCCGAAGGTGCGTGTGCCACAACCACAGTCCAGGAAAGGTGTGGCGCACGCACAGAAACCACAAGCAAGCGAGGCTGGCACTCCACCACAGTGAAGTGGCTCCGAGTCAAGTACCACTTAGCCTCACCCTTATGAGCATAGGGCACGGTAGTATTGGCCCATAACGCCACGCCGTAATGCCCACGGTCGTCTGCGGCGGCATGGAGCATAACAAATTGTCCGTCCGGTAAGGTCGCGGATTCTTGCAACCGCGTTTCCTGGAGACCAATGAGCAACGCTCTGGCTTCCAGGAACTGGCTTTTCAACAGCTCACGCTTGGCCACAATACGGAGGCCAGGCTGAGTTGCGGTGTGGTGCGGAACACCACCTTTGCTCGGATCAAGTAGAGTCAACACATTGACAGTGATGAGGCAGAAGCAGAACTCAGAGGGTGCCCGGCCCGGCCTGGCGGCACGGCGGCCTAACACGGGACCTTGCTCACCAATGGGGTCGGAAGCCTGAAGTCTGCTAGCTTCCGATTCAAAGGAAAACAGGGAGGGCAGATCAGAAGAACCGCTTGCGGGCAACCAGGCCCAGGCTTTCAGGGGATGCGCGTATAGGAGACCCATCCATACCGGCAGGATATCCCCGGACCTGCCAGCCGGGTTACGGCGCGCCCTTTTGGCAAGCTCATCACACAGTTCGTTGGCCACACAGCCCGCATGAGCTTTGACGTGCCGGCGAGTGAGAGGGACACGAGTATGTGCAAGTTGTCTTAAGAGACAGACAAACATCGAGAGGTCGGAAGACCCCCCTGCATGACCTGTCCCGGGAGCTCTGGCGAGACCAAAGGCTCCAAGGCCGGCGGCCTGACAATCATACACCAGGCAAGTAGGAAGCGAAAGGGCGGCACCGAACTGGATAACCCATGCCAACGCCCATGCTAAGGCCAGCTGTTCGCAGGTAAGGGGAGTATCGTCGTGAGCCCCCACGAACCTCTCATCCGAAGGAGGTACATGCGCATCAGCGGCATAGCCAAGAAGGTACTCACTGGTACCGACCACGACCCACACAGAAATGGCCCAGGCACCCGGTAACCCAGCAGGACGAGGCCCCGACGTCGAGGACCCGTCTGTGTACACGGCGATAGAACCCGGCTCAAGGCCTGTCGCTGCAGAGTGCCATTGACGGATACTCTGAAACAGAGGACGCTTGCAATGGGGTACAGCGGGATCTGACAACAACCCCCGAAGATCATTGTCAAGCCAATCCAGCAACTCCTCCGGTCTCTGACTGCCTGGCATACCTGGGAGCACGTCACGGAGAGACAGTGCCTGGCTCTGGAAGTCAGAAAGGGGTACGGCCTCTGAAAGAGGAATAGGCAACGGTAGCATCGCGGCGGGCGCCAGGGGCGGTGGCGCGGGGTCCGCAACCGCAAAGTGCTCCTCAAGTGTCTCAATCAGTGCAACAGCATTGAACCATGCCTTGCGCTTTTCACTCGCAAGGACCGAGTCCAGAACCGTGGGACCGTCAACTAAGCCGGCGAGATCCAATTCGTCAGGGCTTCGATGTGGGCGATCCTGCGCAAGGAGATGCACACTGCTAGGACTAGTCTCACCTGGGGGACACGTACTGCGCCAACGTGTGTGGGCCTGCGACCCGTGAACAAGCGGTGCATTAGAAGGCAAATAGGGCAAAGGCACTTGGTGTCGGGAACGACATGGTGTAGCAACTGCTCGATAGGAGCCAATGGGGCCTGACGAGACACGACTATGTAGGCCTGCACATACACCCGAGGCCCTGCAAACCTCATGAGAGGTGGAGCAAGGACTGTCGACAGCACCTGTGCACAGTCCACACTGACAAAACAACAGAAAGACGATCATCGAGACACACAGTCTCCGATCGGCGGTGGGATGCCTCAGCCTCCTTATCCTCAAATAAGCACACACCCAAACGGGGACGCGTACCCACTCTAGGAACACGGAACCAAGACAATCCAGGATGAGCATCCCGCAAAGAAGGATAGAGGTGATTCCCGGGCAGTCCACAAGATGGACGTCATGCTGCGAACCCAGGGACCACGTATCGACTCCGTTACGGCCCTCATCATACCGCTCTAGATTATCCACCGCAGCGAAAGCTCCAGACTGAGTCCTATCTCCTGAACTCGCAGCAGGGGAGGCCCGAATGGCCGGGACCCCGCCAGTAGTCTGCACGCTACCGGTGTTGGCAGCAGAATTACTTGAAGCGGCTTGACTGGAGGGGATGTCGCCTCCCGGTCGAAGCTCGCCGTCATCATCAGAATCATCCTCTTCCTCATCAGAGGAGCGGTCGCCCGGAGGATTACCACCACCGGGCGCCGGACCTCCCTCATAGTACGAGCGACGAGGCTGATATTCCAGGGTCAGGACTTTCCCGGATATACAAACCTTTGCTCAGCAGCTGTGCCTGGGGGGGCAAAGCCTCCCATAAGACGCACATAGTGAGTCGATGGGCAACGGGAAGAATGTCTGCCGCAGACCTCCGACACATCTACCCTGCCACCCCTAGCAACCGCCCAAACAAGGTCCAGGAGCACCGGGCGCTGGTCCAAAAGGTAGGGCACTTCATCCTGGGCCGTACCAGAGAGGGCCAGGAACACCTGCCTAAGTGGCATCCCTTGACGATACCGATCCTGAATTGGGGGATGCGCGGGCAAGAACGTCAAATCCTCCCGAGCAACCCCAACAAGCTGGGAAACCGCCTCCGGAAGGCCCAAGTCAGGACGATGATCATATGGAACACGCAAATGGTCGGTGGTCGTAAGTACCCAGACGGCACCCACAAAAGGGCCGGGAAGGACAGGGTCGTAATGCCACCCTTCATCTGAGGCCAGCAGTGCCTGCAGTGCAACCGGGGGTATCCGCGGCTGATCGCTCGGAAATATAGTGAATAGGTCGCCGGGCTGCACCCTGACTTGACGACCAGCAGGAAGCACCCAGGGAACATCCGAGAAGAAAACCTGGGCCGTGCCATCTTCCGGTGCGCCGATCAGCCTCAGAATGTCGTCAGACGCCAGAAGCGCCCCTGTAACAGCTGCCATGACGCGAAAAGGGAGTGCATAACTAACGATAAGTATCGGCACTCCTGTGACTTCCCAAGCAGGGAGAGCAAGTAGGCAGGCAAACGACGTCACTGGCTGCATGGGTACCGGCTGCAACCGTGGAAACCGGTATGAAGATGTGGGCTCACGTAGAGGGGACACTTGATCAAGAGCGTCTTCCACTGATAGGGGTACATCAGCGGGCAAGGACACCAGATCGGGAGAGTATTCGGGTGCCAGGATCAGGAAGTGCAGGCGCGGTGCTGGTGGACCATCGGCGGTAAGAGTAACATCGCCTTCAGCACTGGTGTCATGTGACATCTCATCTTCTCGTGAAACTGGCACAACGCCGTGGGCCGGGGACGACGCGGCAACATCGCCAGTCGGTACGCCGGAGGCAGCTAAACCTCCCTCAGAAGCTGGAGCCTCAGAATACCCAGGGGCAACCTGCACCGGGTCCATAGCCTCGTCGATTGACTGGGGGCGATAGACGGCAGTGAAAACTTGACCTGCCTCGGCCTGTATCCTGCCTTCAGCAGCCGGCAAAGCCCCTGGGGCAGTAATGATGAGCACCTCCCAGAACAGGGGAGTAAACTCCCCAATGTCTGCAGTGAGCACTGCGAGATCAACGACGCCCCTGGTCCATATCACGGTAAAGCCTTGCATAAGATACCTGCAGTCGACCAGGATTGGAAAAGCATCCGCGAGAGGTGTACACACCAGGAGTACAGCGCGACATGCTCGGCCTAGCAAGGCGCAATCTGTGATTCGAGGCCTGGCCGGGAGAATTTGCACGACATCTGACCGGATGCCACAGCACTCGGCGATGTCTTGTCGAAAAGCCCAGGGCCTTGATGGCTCAGGCGAATAAAGCTGGTGTCCCCTATTGGTGACGCAGCAATAACACTCTACTTCGTCTTGTACAGGAAAGGGCGCACTTTCCGCCCAGCCCTGCTTAGAGCACAGCCGGGAATCCAAAACCTGGCATACAGGAGGGACGGAACCGGTGGGCCGAACAATCAAGCACTGTCCCGGAAAGATCCTGGTATCATGACCGATGAGCATGATGCTAGGGTCTAGCGCGGTGTGAACGTCAACATCGGCGTTAATAGAAAGCCCTGCCTTGCGCAGGGCGTCATGGTGATCCATGAAATCAGGGACTTGTTCCGCGAAAACACGTCCATCCCACGCCCTGGTATCGTAAACAACCACGGAGACCTGTGGGTCCCAGGCAGGGAGAGCAACTAGGAGAACCCAGCGCGCGTCCGGTTGTGGCAACACCGGCAAGAGATGAGGGAAGCGCCTAGCCTGTGCTTGGGCCCTAGAAGCTTGTACCTCGATCAGGAAGCTACCTACATCAGTAGGCAAAAGGACGACCAGATTCAGCCGCTCCAACTCGAAACCCGGTACCGCAATGGCTACACACACCGTAACGAGCTCCGGCTGTTCTGTATCGGCCGCAGGGATCGGGGGCATCAGGGCCAAGCGCTCTTGTACATGCCAAGCAGGAGCATAACGCCATGGCAAGCCGAACTCATGTGCGAAGAACTCGAGAGCATCAAGCCTGGCGAGATCCAGCGCTCCTGTAGGCGTGGGTTCTTCCAGCAGCTTCTGTGCATTGGCTCCTGGAAGAAAAAGCAAGCGGCTGCCAAGGACCAGAACATGTGCGGCACCCAGGGGTGGCATACAAGCCCGTCCGGAAAGGCCGTGGCCCCACAACCTTCTGATGAGAGAACCTGTGTGAATGACCACAAAGGGAAAGACTCCACGTAGCTGTAGCCGAGTATGCGGTCCAGTCCGTGATCTGGAACGGCTACGTGACGAGGTGCGCCCGGGAGGTGTGCTGGCAGAGGGCTCCACCGCCCGTTCGGCATCGTCTGGCACTGGAGTGGTGGTGTCGTCTGCAGACGGCTCCTGGGAGTCCTGAGAGTCAGAGTCCATATCGGAGTCATCAGAAGAGTGCTGCTCTGAGGAGCCACCTGGACCTGTAAGCACGTAGGTGACGGTAAGTAGAGTACCGTTCGATAAGCGCACATGATGGAGGTCGGTCGCGTCAGCCGGCAGAACAATAGCACAGTAGCCGGTCGGCGCTTGCTGGCTGAGAGGCTCTAAGAATGCCTCAATGTCGATCAGACCCCCAGGCACAAGTAGCCAGGTGATTCCACGTAGAATCGGTCTTTGGTCGACAAAAACTATCCTCTGACCCGGAGGACGCCCTGGGGGAATCGGGATCCTGGGCACACTTTCGGTCACAACGAGTGCAGCCTTGCATTCCACGCCCAATACGGCCAGATCGGTCAGACGCGGAAGGGAAGGACAGACTGTGGTCCGGGAAAGCTCGAAACGCAGGGACTCCACCGCGATGGCCTTGAAGTCTTGCGAGGACTGCACTTCCTCGACATCAATGGGAACTGCCAGGAAAGATGGGACAGGGCATGATCCAATTGTGAACGCCTTCCAGAAGGCTAGCTAGGGAGGCCTTAGGGGCCAACAGCCTACCTGCCGGCACCACAGAGATCGTCAGGCCTTCCTGGAAGGTGTATAAGCCGAGCTCCTGCATGAGGGTATGCCCCAAGTAGACACGGAGACCCGTGGTATCGGGAACACCAAGCTGCAAAAGGAGAGAGCTTCGGTTCAGACGGCCCTTGATGAGATATGCAAACAGACGATTGTCCACAAGTCGGAGGTCTGCCACAACACAACAGCCAAAGACCGAGGCCCTCTCTGGCACAGCTAAGACCGTCCCGAACGATATGTCTGGCTGTGGGAATGCAGGGACCAGACAGTCAAATCTCTCAGAGTTGTCGGCGGATCTGGCATCCGATATTTCGGCCAACGCATCTTCGAGAGCGCATGGCGCACGGAGCGCAAGCTGTATGACCTCCTGCTTGTACTCAGGCATTAGGACTAAGAAGCCCGCCTGCATAAACTCACGCACCATGGGCTCGTGCAGACCTAAGATGGCATGCGCATCAGGGGGTTCCCTGTCGTCCCTGTCGTACCTATTTGGTCCCTCCGCCCCAGGCTGAGTCGCATCATGATCAACAACAGGAGGCGAGGAAGGGACCATGTCAACATGTCCCGTAGCACGAGACATGGAACATGAATGGCTCTGTACTTCATCCGCTCGGGCATCAGCATGCAGACCCACTACAACAGTACATCCGTCATGCAGAAGCACTCTACCGTTGTGCGCCTGGAGACCTGATATAACGGGGCGGAAACCCGAGGGAAGAGCGATACCAAGAGCCGCAACAACCTCAACAGGGGTACTCCATCCAGGTCTTAGAACCCTGAAGGTAGGATCCTCTCCAAGTTGCCGGAGGTCGTAGAAAACCAACGCCCGGCTGGATCTATCAAAGGCCTCCTCAGGACGGGCCTCCGCCGCAAAAAGCCCTACGATGTGCCGACCCTTATATACAAGTTTCAATAAGGGACAATTATCGGCGGGGAACCCAAACATGAGCTCGGACGCATCATTACCGAAGGCCTGTGCAGCTAGCCCCAGCAGTTCAGGGCCTAACTCACCTGCGTACTGGACAACTCGTGTAACATGGCTTCGCATAACCAGCCAGTGCGGCGCCTCATGGTTTACCATCAGTGGCGGGGCAGGCGGAGCGGTAATACAATGCGCAGGCACACTCTGGCATGGAGTAAACGAAAAGACAGTCCCTGCTTTGGCCCATACCGTGTTACCTGGCTGGATAGGCTGGGCATGACCTGACGCATGGACCGTCCAAGTATCACCGATGTGCGGGGCCGCAGCTGCGTTGAGGTCCCAGTGGCTAACTAAGGACCATCCTAGAACAGCAAAGACGGGCCCGGAACACCGACTCATGTCCAGAACATACGTGGTCTTATCGAAGGTCGATGTCCAGCGGGGCACAGCAACAGCTGATAAACGATCTGAATACAGCTGTGGCGAGGTCCACGTCAGAACATCTGGTGAGTCGGGCCCCCACTGTCTCTGGGCCTCCGCGAGCGCCGAGGCAGACCTACAAACCTCACCTTGCAAGGCCAGACTGGTTGTGGGAAACCCTGCAGCCAGTATTTCGCATGTACCGGATCTAAGTGCAGGTCCTAACACAGTACCAGGCTGGGGAGGAAGAGGGCATACATCAGACTTACTGGCAGAGGCCCGTGCACTGCATGGCGATGACGGAGGAAACGGATCAGGTAAGTCCGCTAAAGCGCATTCCAGCTCCGCCAGAAGTCGGACCTCAGGGCGTGGCATCGCCCATGCAGTGGAGTGGGACCCACACAGGACTCCTAACCCGAAAAACCACAAGAGCCTAGAGAAACCAGAACCGAGACCTGGGGCAGGCCTGCCTCGTTTCGACGTATAGTGCAGTACATTCTCGGATGGCTTACAGGCTCGGCCAAGTGGCAAAAGAAGGGCAGGAATCGATCCTCGGAAGGGCAGCCTGACAATCCGGCCAAGAGGAGAGCCCCGGCCGGGTGTTTGATTGCAGAGCATACCACAGAGCCCCAGAAAGATGACAAAAAGGCATGCCCTGGAAAGTGGCACAAGGAGACTGCCCAGAACAAGCAGCATCCGCAGTATGGCGGTACCGGCACCATTAGTAAAGGTGCTTGCCTCAGTGGGCACATGGAAGGCAAACATCCCAGAGCCACCGATATGTTTTTTTGGCGCTCTTCCATGTATATCAAAATTGGGCCCAGGCGGGCCAACCATGCCAGCGACACGGACTGAACTAGGGGGGTCGGGGACTAAACCGAAAGACCCAAAAAGAAGGGAAGGAGCGATGAAAAAGTCACTGCAAAGGTGCTCCACATGCGCAAAGAACTGAAAGTCACGCGGGCCCCCAGCCGAGATGCCAGTATAGTAACGGAGGACAACCACACCTCGAAGGGCAGACAACCCAGAGCCACCGATAAGTCTTTTAGGCGCTCCTTCAAGGCAAAAATGAACGTGGGGAGGCTCCCCTACCATGCCAGCGACACGGTTGCAGGTGGGCATAGCCGCAAGGGAAATCCACCCAGGGAAGAAGCAAGAGGATTCCGTAGGAAAGGAACACCGGAACCCTGGGGATAAAGTCCACAAGGATGAGCTCGAAAGTCGACACAGACTCGCCACGGCGTAAACCCAGCGCCTGACGAATGAGAGGAAGAGGCAGGGTGTGCCGAGAGCCTCGCAGGACGGGACCAGTAGCAAGACTAGCAGATGGTCCACAGAGGCCACCTCAGAAACTGTACAGCCTGAAACACGACGAGGAAAGCTACCATTATGGAGACAGGACGGATCGCACCTGAGTCCGCGCTGACAAAGCCTACATCCGAAAGAGAACTTGATTCCTAGGAGTGCGCCCAAATGCACTCCATAGGACTCGGGCTCTTCCAGGTGAGGCATGCCATCGTTGACACAGGCTCGCGCCGCCGTCTCCATACAATCTATACAGATGCGCGTCACTCCATTTTGGTTAAGCCTGGCGAAGCCTGGCCCGGGACCTCCGTAGGGGTAGCGCCATCCAGATCGTCGTCGTCGATATCGAATATCTGAACAGCATGAACATGCTCTGGTTCGGGAACCGGAACAGGGTGAACAGGATTGTCGCCGTCGATGCCGGAGGCTTCGGCAGCCCTGGCAGCCATAGTAGCCCGTTTCTCCTCGAGCTTGTCCTTGAGATTCTGTCCGCCATGATCCGGTCGGGAAGGTGGAGTCGGGGACTTCAAAGGCAATCTTCGTCCATTTCCGTTGCTGGCCCGTTTGGGAGGCATCTCTGGCGGCCTCTCCACTGGATTCGCAGCCGCCTCGGTGGTTGGCGGGGCCGGCCCACCTGGAGGGCCGCCTGGTTCTGGCCCATGCATGTTCATACTGGTAGTCCCCGGCGAAGCATTGTAGGGCGCAGGCCGTTCTGCCTTTTCCATCATAGGAGCATAGGTGGCCGCGGCAGGCCGCGATACTGCAGGCGGAGAAATAGGGGCACCTCCGAGAGACCTGTGTGGAGGTGTCCGCGGCGCCTCCGCTCCAAACTGTGGCAGCCTGCTCTGCTCCGGTGTCTGGCTGAGCATGACCTTTCGCGCATAACGCAAGGCCGCGGCTTCGTCGCCTTCCGAACGGTCGACCTCCATGTGATGAGCAACCTCGCCGATAAGAGCCTCCCACTCGTCCAAGATAGGACTGGGGGCCGCACCAGTTTCGCCGCCACCTTTCATCCCTTCCAGGATAACCGCTCTCAGGGCGTCCTGTGCTACCTGCTGCTGCTGCTCCGCATCTTTGAGATCGCCAGCAATCCGAGCAACATGCTCCTGATGGCGTCGAAACTCCTGCTCGAACGCCTGCTGTATGTCGCGCTTGTAATTCTTCCATTGCAGGTGCTTGGCCTCCTGGTCGCTCTGCAGCTTCATCACTCGGTTGTCTTGCTTTCTGGCAGCATTGACGGCCGCTTGCACCTGCTGTAAGAAGGAAGTCCGGCGTTCCTGCCCTGTCTCGGCTCGGCGTTCCGAGATGGGAACAATATCCGGCTGAGTCCACTTCGCATCGTACGCCGGGAAATGATTCTTCTTCTCCGGGGTGGAGTCTTTGCCATGTCGCCATGCTCCTGGCCAGTATCCCCATTTGGGGTTGCGCCCAGAGTAGGACCGCCCATACGAAGGGTCCCATGGCTGTTGCTGTCCACCTCCTCCACGTTTGCCCATGTAGTCGAGCCTGTCAAGGGCTTCCAGGGTAGCAGCCGGAGTGGCGTGGTGAAATCGCAACCTGGCGATTTGCGTTTTAGACAAATGTGCACCTCGTTTAAGGGTCGCTCTAGCTTTGGCCCTTCGTTCCCGGAGGCGACGATGCCAGCACGGCGACGCAGGATGCTTTATGGCGAAGAGGGAAAAGCGGGATGCCCTCTTCTGGGGCCTCGATTTTCCGACGCTGTTGTCGGCGATTCGGGCCCTAAAATTATATACTATACTTTATATACTCAGCTTCGAGCCCCGAAGCTGAAGGCCGGTAGTGAAACCATGCCGAAATATTTTTGCGAGTTCGGCGGAGAGGCGGCTGCCTTGTTAAGGCTGTCACTCTTGCCCCGCCACTTGCTCGCGCGTCTTTCAGTGCAACTTCCCTGCAGTGCGACTTAGTCAGCGAAGCGGGTGGGACAAGAATGACTGCCTGGGTCATCCGAGTCCGGGAGTTAGGAAGGGCTCCCAACCTCCCAAAAAGTTTAATCCCCATAGACACCTGCAACAAAAGCCTTAAACTCTGTAAGGCCTATAAGCCATATCCATAATGTGAGAGCCGAAACCCTGGAATCTCTTAAAATCCTTCAGTACAAAAGACCTCGCGGACGGCCGAAAAGCGGGAGATATCTCTGCCCTAAACCCTAAACCCTAAATCGGAACTCCTCGCCAAGGCATGTCCGAGTGTGAGTGCTGAAATCTGTGTGTCAGGCTGCAGCCCCCATCACCGGGCCCACGGTGAGCTCGATCCCCGGGCTGCCTTCAGCTCTCCGGAGAAGCTGAGGCAGCGAGTAAGTTGGAGTTTGGGTTTAGGGGTTTGGGGTTTAGGGTTTAGGGATTCAGGATTTGGAGGGTGCTGTATTGTAGAACTCCGGAAAAGGAGACTGATGCCGAGAGGAACAAAGTAGTCTGGTAGTGTTTCTCGAAGCCTAAATGCTCCTGTGCCGGAAAGCTACATGGATTTGGCTTGCTTTCCAGGTGTCTCCATCCACAGAATTGTACTGCGGTTTCAGCGACTTCGTACTACCGCTTCAGACACACAGAATCCCAAAGTCGAAATCCTCAGGGCAAGAAGCCCTAACCACGCTCGGGGTCCGCTCCAATTCTACTTCAACTCTTGCGGTTGAGGGTGAGCACGTTCAGAAGATTTGAAGTGTTTGTTCTAGTTTCCTCGACGGAGGCAAGTGGTGCGGCAGCTGGACCAAGCTGGTAGCTGGCTAGTCTCTTGTCGCCCATTGGGGGCCACCTGGGACGGAGGCTTTGTGCTTGCAAATCGCGAGGTTCATGGCATGGTGCACGTGTAAGCAGCCTGGCGCCGGCAGCGCTTGTTATGTCGACTGCGCATTCTACACATGTCGCCTACTTCCTTTGCTTTGATTTCTTTCCGAGACAAGAGTAGGAATTCAGCATTCCAACAACTGCCTGGAGTCTCATTACTAACAACCCCGCGTGAAGGCAGAAGAAGCCAGCTTGAGCCCCTGTGGCCGTAAGGTGGTCATCGATGGTTTGGAAGAGGGTGCCGGTGATGCAGATCGAGAACTGCTCGGTGAGTTGCTGCAGACAACGGTGATCCATGTCTGCACGTGGAGTCACGGTTTCCCGCGTGCAGAGACGGCGGGTCGAACAGAAGTAGAGTTCGCATTTCAGGATAAGGCTGGTCAGAGATTGATGTACAAGGTAGACTCAAGCCGTGAGCGAACGACAGCTCTCAAAGCTCCCTCACGAGCCTGATTAGCCACGCATTAGGAAAGGGAAGGAAGCAACAACGCACAAACCATGTACATGGTGCACTGTACGGACACTTGAAACCTTAAGCGCAACAGTCCATCAAGCTCAGGAACTTGCGATTGCTTCTCACGGCACGCACCCCTTTGCATGGATCCTGGGCCTCGCTTGGCTTCTCCAAGGCGGAACCCAGCGCGAGGTTCAGGACTCCAGGTTTTGGGGGTTGATGGGGGTTGCATTGCCGTCGTTAAATCAAATGGGCGACTTGCGCAAGTTGCGCCGGCAGTTGTGGTGGTGCTAGCAGTGGTGGTGGTAGTAGTAGCAGCAGCAGAAGCAGCAGCAGCAGCAGCAGCGGTCAGTCACTATAGCATAGTCTGCAGCGTAGTAGTGTGGTCGTCGTCGAGTAATAGGAGGATGCTGGAAACAGATGGGACTGTGGAAGGTGGTGGATTTCGCGCTGCCACCGCTGCTGTCCGAGGACCATGTCTTGTGCAGCTCCTCAGACCCCAAGCCCCGAAGTTAAATCGCAGCTGGTACCACCCCTGGCTGTCCGAAGCGTGAGCATCGCAACGCGTGGTTGTAGCAATGTCCCAGGCAGGCTTGACAAGCTCCCAAATTGCCTTATTGCTACCGCTCCCCAGAGCCTTCAGACATCTCTGTCTCTCTATCTGTCTGTCTGTCTGTCCGTCTGTCTGTCTGTTTGTCTATCCGTCCATCTGTCTGTCTATCTATCTATCTATCTATTTCTCTATTTATCTATCTATCTATCTGTCTATCTATCTGTCTGCCTATTTTGCTATCTGTTTATCCATCCATCCATTCATCCATCCATCGATCCATCTACCTATCTACCTATCTATCTATCTATCTGTCTGTCGGTCTATCTATCTATCTGTCTGTCTGTCTGTGTGTCTGTCTGTCCGTCTGTCTGTCTGTCTGTCTGTCTGTCTGTATATCTATCTACTTATCTATCTATCTAGTCAGTGATCTATCGATCTATCTATCTTTCTGTCTATCTAATCTATCTAATCTTGTCTAGTCTGTTTAATCTATCCAATATATCTACTCTACCTAATCTATCTATCTAATCTGTCAATTTATCTGTCCATTTGTCTGTCTGTCTGTCTGTCTGTCTGTCTGTCTGTCTGCCTATCTATCCGTCTACCTACCGAATCTACCTATCAATTTTTCCGTCTATCTATCGATCTATCGATCTAAGTACCTATCTATCTGTCTATGTATCTATCCATCTATCTATTATCTATCCATCTATCTCTGTCTATCTCTGTCTATCTATCTCCCTGTCCATAAACAAATAAATAAATAAACAAATAAATATATAAACAAATATAAATACAAATATATATATATGTATGTCGATGTATCCATCTATCTATCTATCTATCTATCTACCGTCGACAAGAAGGTATGTGTTTTGATTACGGCAGCGCAGGATTCTGCCCGACTCCTGGCCCGACGCGCCCGACGCCCGCTCTATGCCAGGGACTTCCAGGCCCATGGCCAGCAAGAGGCCGGTCTCGGAGGCAGACTTCGAGGTTTAGGGGCTTGGCTGGAGTCCCTTGTGAAAAAAGGGGCGTGGCTGGAGGGATTCACGGGCGTAGTGCATTGCAGTCCCTGCTCAAAAAAAGGGGGTTTCCACTGAGTCCATGGCTTCAACAAAAGGGTTGTCGGGTTCTGGGGTTGAGGGGTTAGGGTCTCCCAAAGCCCGGGTGCAAAAACAGGTCAGACTACGAGTACAAGCAGTGGCGTTGGGCAAGTACAGCGTGATAGATGTGAGATAGTCTGGGATAGTATATGATAGTATCAATATCAATGATGAGGATCCTGCGTGGATCCTGGGAGTCTGTCTGTTCTTGGTTAAGTATGGCAAACCGGTGACAAACTCGTGCTGCTAGGAGCAAGCACCTCAGGCGTCCGGTTGAGACTGGGTTTGGGCTTGTCGAGATGAAGGCTTGGGTGAGACTTCGGTGCTCGGTGCGAGGGTTCGTTCTTGGCCTGCTTATAAGAGGCCTTGCCAGATCTGTATGCCGAATCGCGTGACTGACTAGGCGATTGCACGCGATTGCGCAATATAGGCATGACGAGGAGGGCTCCAACCCGTTTTTGTAGAAGTCTTCGTAGGTGACTTGATGTCGCTCCAACCCTCACTTCTTGGTGTCCTACGCCTCTTGGAGACTATCGATGCAAAAATGTTGGTGTTTCGAAGCCTTGACTCCCACATGTCGCAGGACACGAGTGAGCCCCTGAAGCTATCGTCGGATCTTATCCAGAAGTTGATGCGTTCGCCCCTCATGGCGCGTGTCGACGGACATCCTGGTCAGATATTGAAGGCAGCAGCGGAGGTGCGAATGGACTTGCCTTCGCTGTTGCGCCACCCGTTCTTGGAGCAGAGCTCCAACGACTCGATTGAACAGCCGGCGGATGGCGAGGCCTCGCCATTTTTCCCTCCTGTACTAGCAGAGAGCCGGTTGTGATTCGAAGATGCTTGCGCGCAATGCGGTGAACTCCGACTACTTGCTTCAGCCTTTACACTTCAGCCTTTACACTACAATGAGCTATCGTGGCGGTGTAGTTAGCAAAGCGATGTACGGCAATAAGCCGATCCAAGTGTAGCGGCCCAATAAATGCAGATCTAAAGAAGTCCAGACCAGACCAGAGACTATAGCCCAGGAAACAAGAGCAGTAGATAGAAAACTTCATCTGCACCCAACCCCTTTGAGCAGCTATCCGCGTAGCTCCTTTAAAGAGTTGTATCGGTCCTGGGATTTGGCATCTCTCATAATATGATCAATGTTAGGCTAGCTTATCAGGATTCTACTGTCGGATCTTTCCAACGCTGGAAAGCGCAAGTTGCTGCATGCATCTCCCAAGGCTCACGTTTTCACTGGGTCGGAGGGAGTGGCAGGGTTTCCTTGCCAGCAATGGTGTTTCGGCATTTAAAGGGTTTCGGGTTCAGGTTTAACGTTGAAGAATCCATAGAAAGCAAAGCCGAAGATCCCGAGCAACTCGTCAGTACATGATTTGGAACCCGTCACCCGCAGACCAGCACCATTGCAACTTTGATGGAGGGTTTGTCATAGATTGTACAAAGCCAATCGACAGGCTTGCACGCCATGGCCACAAAGGCAGTGTGCTTTGTCACAACACGAAGCCCAGGCACATTCAAATTCCGAGGTGTTCGAGTTGGAGCGCAGCCCCGAAGTGTATTTTCTTGTGTGTGGCGCGAAAGCCTCTCGTGGCGCAACGTTTTTGTTTGTTTGCTGCTGACAAAAAACAGGCACACCCTCGGAATGGAAAAAGGAAGTGCTAAGCTCCTTGTGCCGCTGATCCCACCGCCCTTGCGAGACTCAGGGTGCAACGGGCAACGCGCTATGAATGCGTCTGCGAACCGGTGTGTGCATAAGGCATCAATCAATCAACCATCTCTCTCTCTCTCTCTCTCTCTCTCTCTCTCTCTCTCTCTCTGTATATACACAAATAAATAAAAAATAAATAAAACATATATATATATATATTTATATTTATGTACACTTATACATAGCGATCTATATCTCCCTCCCTCCAAATATACACTTACTATACACATAACTTTTTTTGTTTTTGTTTGTTTGCTTGCTTGGTTGCTTGCTTGTTTGTTTGTTTGTTTTTTTGTTTGTTTGTTTGTTTGTTTGCTTACGAAGGTGCAGCACACTCGCACGCGTACGTGCTCAGAATCTTGATACACACACAAATACACATATGTACATATGTATGTATACATACATACATCCATCCATCCATGCATGCATGCATGCATGCATGCATCCATACATACATACATACATACATACACACACACATATATATATATAGAGCTCTGTGTGCGTAGACCGCATTTGCATCATAATATGTGCCTGTGCACATAGACAGTGCTGGTGTTTTCCCGTCCGATGCTGGCTCGTGGGAGCACCCGGGACGCGGGCCGATCGCAGCGACGAAAGGCCTTGATGGTAGCAGTGGCTCAAGACTTAAGTGTTTGGGCTTCTCCTACAGAGTATTGTGCATGTGTTGCTTGAGGGCTGCTTGATCTTGGGAGTTTTGCAACCCAAGGAAAATGGCAGGAGCCAGGCTATTCACTTGAATTAGTTGTCTTCTTCCATCCTCCAGTGCTCTGGAAGTCTTGGAGGTGTGAGGGTGAGATTTCAGCAGAATTCCAAAGGTTGTGCCCGGGAGTCCAGGATTTAGTTGGTTGCAGGGGTATTTCGGGCATCCGGCAGGTTATGCTAGCCACCATTGGCAGTACGATGGAAAGTTCGCGGCGTGCCCATTTCAACAGGCCACAGGATCCAGCTAGTCGTGTTTCTGGCAATGGGAGGAAATGCGTCTCGTGCTGCTTCAAGCTGCCACTGCAACAGAGAAGAGGAGAATCTCTTGAAGGAGACAACGGGAGATGCTAGCGTTTCTAGCGACATCGAACAACCTCACCCATCAAGCAGTGCAATCAACGTCATGGGGTGCCAACTTAAGCCGAAGTTCGGGAGAGCGCAGTACGTGATGGTCTTTCCAAACCGACGACCGGGTCTGGACGAGAGCAGTGCTGATGCTGAACAGTTCCGGAAGCCTGTCCCATCGGCCGTTTCAGATTGGAAGGACATATTCCAGCAAAGCGAGCCCCCGAGTACGATCAAAAACGGAATGGCATTTCAGGACTTCGTGTGTGAAGTTATCAAGAATGTGCAGCTGGTGCTTGAGCGCATTGGCTGTAACATTGAACGGGATTGCTCTGTGGATGATGACGAGGTATTCCTGGTAATTCAAGTTACTAACCACGAGACGCTCGACTCAATGGCAGAAAGGATGGAGGCCCGAGCTCAAGTAAAGCCCAAGGCCTACGAGCGGAAGACCTTCAAATGCCCGACGGACGTCAAATTGCGCGAAGGTGATGGCAGCGAAGCAACTTTCAAGCGCACCGACACAGGTGACCGGTATCTAAATGGGACAGTGATCGACAATTCCTGCCCAGCCTTCGTCCGATTTTCTAAAGACATCAAAGACAAGGTGGAGGACTTTACTGAGCCTGAACAGCTGCGGATTGTGCGGCGGACGATCCTGCCGAAGATAGATTTGGCTGCGCTGGAGGAGACAAAGGTGCTCACCCAGTTTTTTGCAGCCCACGACTGGGATTCCTTACAGGAGCTTTACAATCGTGGCTGGAGCGACCCGACAAGGCTTTTTGTATGGCCGAGCCACACGATGCCCGACTACCTGGCTAACTACTTCGGGGTGCAGGTGGCCTACTACTATCATTTCTGCAACATGTATACAAGGTCTCTGCTGGGGCCAGCCATCTGTAGCATCCTCGTCCTAAGCATGCGCTTCAGCGGCTGGCTGAGCCATCATCAGCGGCAGTTGGTGAACATGATCTATGGCATCGGGCTGTGCGTTTGGACGACCTATTTCCTGGCCAGCTACAATCAGAGCCTACGCTTCAAGAGCTTGCGATGGGGCATGGATGGCACGAACTCTGCTTCTGCTGCGGTTCGACGGCAATTCAGAGACGACTACCGCGACACGGTGCGGGAGAGACTCGACAATATATTTCACTGGATGTTGTGCGCGCTTTTCATCTGCGAGACTGTCGGAGTGATTGCATTCATCAGTTCCAGGAGATTAGCTGCCTTTAACAATCCGGATGGTGCTACCTTCGGCCTGCCCAACAATGTTGCCGTTCATGCTTTCAAGTACATCATCATTGCCAACATTAAGACAGTGAACGCTCTGTGGACTCGCCTCTCCCCATATCTGAGCAACCGTCAGAACTGGCGAACAGATGTGGAGCTCAAGTCAAACATGGTGCTGAAGCTTTTTGCAGTGAAGTTTGTGGTCTTTTACTATCCTTTCTTTTATACCGTTTTCCTCCAGCCATACATAGAAGGCTGTGAGGGCGACGTGATGGAAGGTTGTCTTGCCCAATTGCGGTCTGATTTGGCCAGCTTCTTTGTGTTCCAGTTGATTTTGGAAGCAGGTGAGGTCCTTTTCATGCTCGCTATGGTCAAATGGCGAATTTCGACAGAACTGGCGAACAAAAAGAAGATCGCTGGCGAGGAATACCACGAGGACCGGCCCTACCTTACTTACTTGGAGTATCAAGCATTGTGCAAGCCCTACACAGTAACTGACGAAGTCGCTGACTACATGAATGGGGTCCTCAACTTTGGCTTTGTCGCGCTGTTCGGCGTAACAACTCCAAGTATTTGCATCCTGTGCTTTTTGGGTGCTTTTCCCGCGAAGAGGCTCACTGCCTACAAGCTGTGCTTCGCTAAGCAGCGTGTCATCCCACGCGTGCAGCACGGAATCGGTTCATGGTCTTACATCTTGTATTTCTTGGCATATGTAGGGGCCACTTCCACCTGTTACATCGTCATGTTCCTCTTTGACAGCTGGGATCTGAGTCCCTGCCAGAGTGTGCTCGCCTTTGTCTTCGCCGAGAGGGTGGTTTGGGCACTCCAGTTCGTCGTTCATTCGCTCCTTGGGGCAAAGTCAGTGGCCCAGAAGAGGATCGAGGAATACAACGACAACGTGTTGGAGGCAGTGCTGGAGAGACACGGGCCGGAGACAATCGCTCAGGGTTCAACAAGACAGAGCGCTCGTTATTCACGCTTCTCCCAGCAAATTCAGGAGGAGAAAAAGTCTGCGTGACGAGCCGCCGTTTGTATGGGCAAAGCTTACGACTGATTCACAGCGATCTCGCACTGACTCTGACATTGCTCAATGGATGCTGCTCTTTGCAACCTCGGGCTTCTTCCACATGGACTCTTGGCCATTGGATGGTTCTCAAGCACACGAGTCCAAACATGAAAAAGTGCAAGAGGCAGTTGGGTCTTAGTTATAGTTTTCAGGCAGCTCTGGGCTCTTGGATGTTCATGGTCATCTAGAGGTGAGCATTACAGCATTATCAACCTTGCCATCTTGCTTCTTTCTTGCACTGGTAGCCTGCAGGCAGCAAAACACATCGCCACCCCAATCGCACAGTCCCCTATCAAAGCGAACTCTTTCAAGCTCTGCTTTGGGAAGCGCTCAGGGCGCTGTCAGCTTTACTCTTTGTCTACTGTCGAAGACGGCCTACTGATGGGTCAATGTCACTCAGTTAGTCGGAATTTGCCGGAGCGATGGCAGTAGCGGCTCTTCTTAATTGTGCGAGAGTCGTCCGATGCATAGCCCTCTGTTTACCCGAACTACCCTGCAATGCGGGCTCGTCCTTGCTATGTGGGAGGGAAAAAAAGCTTTGCTTTGAGGCCAGACAACCCACGAGCCCTGCGGTACGCCTTATTTGACCTTCTGCATGCGCTTTTGGTCCCTTGCTAGGTCTGACTCTGCCTCGCCGATGCGGGGAACTCCCATGGGCAGAGGCAGGGGATGCAGGGGATGGGAATTTGGGGCGACTTCAACAGAGTGTACCATCCTGGAAGAACTGCTTCCAAAGTGGGCACCGCGCCTTTTGCTGTCAGGTTGCGAAGTTTTCGACAGAATGATTTTCCGGTCTTCGTCGCATTTGCCAGATGCTTGCTTTTCGGCACTCACGGACCACACATGGTTGGAGGTTGCTTTGCACATCACACGGCCCAAATGAACCTGATCTTTCTGCAACGAAGCACCCGCGGCAAACGTCTTGCAGTCCGCTTCGAGCATACAATAGCAATTCACATGCAGAAACTGGGGAAGTCACAAGATTCGACTTCACTGCGAAAGTCTCAGCCTTGTGACCTACACAGTGCACAGGAAGCCGCGCGAACACGATTCGTTATTACAGGTAGCCTCGCCTGCATGTCGGAGTCGGAGTGATTCCTCCAAATCCGGAAGTGTAGGAAGCTATTCGGTATCTATTTTGAGGCTAAGTTTCAGAAGAGCTTTCATTGTGCCCCAAATCCTCGCGGGGCGGAAGGCCCGGCAAGCCACACCAGCTGCCAGTACGAGTTGCGTCGGAGTACCTACTTGAGTTTAGGCAGTTTAGGGTTTATTGTCCGGTTTTTGGCTTCCCATTTCTCGCTTTCTTCTCATATTTTCTGATTGCTTCCCCCGTGCATATGCGTGCATGAGAGCCCTGAAGCCAGACCCAGATCTTACGCAGCACGTGGGAAATTTGTTCTACCACTATTCACGCTTTCCTTTCTGGGTAATCTCTTGGTTGCTATAGTAGGAAGGAGCCAATAACGTCGCTCAACTGCCCCAACGCGTGGCAGCGTGGACCTACTTAGCCAATACCTCATGGAAAGTTAGAATAGCTCCCTTGTTCATCGGAGATCCCTGCCCCCCAAATTCACAACTCGCCTCAGCCGCTGTTGGCTCTACCCGAGGTGCTCAAGACTTGTGCGCCCAACGACGCCTGCATCGAACAGGTCATATTTCAAAGGTACACCTTGTCCCTCCCCCTCCCTCCCAACTTTCAACTTGTGTAGTTAGTTTCGATCAGCCATGGCGCTCCAAGAAAGGCATCGATGGATGGCCGCCAATGTCGCCTCGGCTTTTGGCATGTCAGACAGGGTCCACTCCGTTGAGGCGTTGCTCGGGGAATACAACAACCTCAAGAAGCTGAACGACTTCCTCGAAGGCAAGAGCAAGCACAGGCACGTCTTCGTCTACTACCAGCGACCGGACGTTCCCAACGACCAGGGAGAGCTTGTCGATGCCAAGGGAGATGCAAAGCTGATTATCACAACCGGCGAGCATGAGGACGTCCGAATCAAGAACCGGGCAGTCTACTTTCTCCGAAATGTCGCAGAGAATAAGCCGGTGAAGGCCGACGTCAGCTCGGATGGCGATCTCTTGTTTGGTGAGATGGCGGCCTCGCCGCTGGAGAGTTTGAACACTGGACTTTTGGACGTCTTCAAACCTCTGGTGAGCCAGGGCTCTACGGATTGGGCTTCCTGTGAGTACGAGCAGGCGAGTGAGTTCAAGACGACCTTCGAGAAGTTCACCATTGAGCTCTCCCAGGGCATCCAATCCCTCTCCGGTGGCATCGACCTTCCGAGCCCCGAGCCGACCTCCGAGGTGGATCGGAATTTGCCCCTCAACGACGTCGCCAAGGAGCATCCGGACCTGGTGGCCAAGTACGAGCAACTCTTGGAGGTCTGGTGCCGCCTCATTGAGCAGTACCTCGAGCAGACCTTGGAGGGCCAGCAGAAGGACTCAGGCGACGCAGGCCCCCGAACCGAGCTGGACTTCTGGCGAAACAGGCTTCAGAAGATCACGTCCATCACGGAGCAGCTGAGGACGAAAGAGAGGAAAATGGTCTTCGGACTGCTCCAGTCCATCACGAAAGTGAGCCATGAGGTAGCTCCGAAGAATCGCCAATCCGTCTTCAACACACTTCGCCGATGGAAGCAGATTGAGATTGCCATCACTGAAGCCTTCAACGAGGCCAAGGACAATGTGAAGTACTTGACAACCTTGGAGAAGTTCATCGAGCCCCTGTACAACGGAACCCCCGCGACCATCATCGACACGCTGCCCGCATTGATGAATGCCGTGAAGATGATCCACACCATTGCGCGCTACTACAACACCACAGAACGCATGACCAACCTCTTTGCCAAAATCACCAATCAGATGATTACAAACTGCAAGGAGTGCGTCCTTGACGGAGAGGAACCCGAGTCGCTGTGGCAGAAGGATCCCCTCGTCCTGATTAAGAACCTTTGGTCTTGCATCCGCCTCAACGAGGAGTATCAGGAGTCTTACCGGCAGACGAAGGAGACGCTTCTGACGCTGCCCAAAGGCAAGCAGTTCGACTTCAGCGAGACCTTCATCTTCGGCCGATTCGACCTTTTCTGCCGACGTGTCACGAAGTTGATCGACATGTTCCAGACGGTGCACCAGTTCACATCGCTTTCGCAGCACCGTTTCGATGGCATGGAGGGCCTGGTGAAGAACTTCAAGAGCATGCTCGAGGAGTTTCAGTACAAGCGCCACGACCTCCTGGATTTCACTACCAATCGCTTTGACCGTGACTACGTGGAATTCAATGTCCGCATTTCCGACTTGGAAAGCAACCTCCGCCAGTTCATCAACCAGTCATTTGAGGCCATCGCGAGCATCGACTCGTCTTTGAAGTTGTTGACGAAGTTCCAAGCAATCCTTCAGCGAGACAGTCTGCGACAGGATTTGGAGAACAAGTTCGCCGTGATTTTCCACAACTACGGCCTCGAACTAACGCATGTGCAGGACCAGTACGAGAAGTACAAAACAGGTCCGCCATTGGTGCGAAACCTTCCGCCTGTGGCGGGGCACATCACCTGGTCTCGGCACTTGTACAGGCGAATCGAAGGTCCCATGCAGAAGTTCCAGACGAACCCGACAATTCTGACGGGCAAGGACTCGAAGAAGCTCATTCGCATGTACAACAAGATGGCGAAGACCCTGGTGGAGTTTGAGACTCTCTGGTACCAGGCCTGGGTCTCCTCCATCGAGACGGTGAAGAGCGGGCTGCAGGCGACCTTGATCATCAAGCATCCTGACGATAACATGCGCTTCCATGTCAATTTCGACTGGGAGATTCTCCAGCTCATCCGAGAGACACGCTGCCTTGACCGAATGGGCGGCGTCGAAATCCCGGAATCGGCGAAGATGATTCTGCTGCAGGAGCAGAAGTTCAAGACCTACAATCACGAGCTCTCCTTCTTCCTGAAGGAGTATCGCCGCGTGACGCAATCCGTGAAACCCATCGCGACGAACCTGATGCGCCCTCACATGGAGAACTTGGAGCTGAAAATGAGGCCAGGGCTCGTCATCCTAACGTGGACTTCGATGAACATCGAGGCATACTTGGAGGAGGTCTGGAAGGAGCTCGACCGGCTTGAGCAGCTGGTCATGGCCGTGAACGACCTCATGGAAAGCCGAATTGATGCAAACTTGAAGATCGTCTCCAATGTCCTTCTGGTGAACCTGCCTGAGGAGCAGGAGCTGGTCACGCTCGAGGAGTTCGTGGAGATGCAGGAGCGCCACGTGCGAGCAACCACAGACTTCCTGGTGGCCAAGAACGTGGAGATCGAGAATGCTGTGAATGACATGCTTGGCATGATTGTCGGCTTTGAGCTCGAGCCTCATGTGCAAGTGGTCCAGGAAAGCGAGATCATCAAGGTCAAGGCGCACTACAACTGGTCCATGTACCAAGCCTTGCTGAACGCGACCAAGAGCTCGCTGAAGGCAATGAAGCTTCGCCTGTCCTCGAACTATCGTGAGGGCAAGTCGCCGCCCCCTGCCTTCTTCGAGGTTGACCTCCAGCTTGACGGCATCAGCGTGCGCTTGGACCCGTCGGTGGAGGAGATCCAGGCGGCCATCAATGGAGGCGCTGTTGCGGTCCTAAAGTGCTCGAAGATGATCGAGGCCTGGGACACTGTGACGATCCCAAAGAACGTGCAGCTCATTCTCGACGCGAACTTGCCACCGGTGCAGGGCACAGGTTCGCAGGGTACCTTCTACGATCGCATCGCCCAAGACCGCGAGATCCTTAAGGTGGTGCTGCTGCTCACCGGAAGCATCCAGTCCGCCAAGAACATGTGCAACAGCTATCTCACGACCTTCAGTGAGTACGAGTGGACCTGGAAGGAAGACATTGACAAGAAGTACGCCGAGTTCAAGGCAACCGGGCCGAGCCTGGACGACTTCGAGTCGAAGCTCAAGGAGTTTGTGGCCATGGAGCACAAGGTCGAGCAGTTGACGGGCCAACATCAGATCTCCGCGCTGATGCTGAAGACTGGCAGCCTGGCGCAAGACCTCAAGGATCGGGCAGACAAGTGGAAGACGTGCTTCGCTAAGGAGCTGCACAAAGAGGCTTTCGCAAAGCTCGAGACTGTCAGCGAGATGGTAAAGTCCACCAGCAAGAAGCTGAAAAGAGAGGTCGGCTCAGGCGACATCGATGCCCTCGCTTATGTCATGCAGACACTCCAGGAAGTCTACGCAAAACAAAGTGAGATTGAGCTCGACTTCGTGCCCATCGAGCACATGTACCGCATTCTGGATGAGCACCTGCCCAACATCATGGACAAGGAGGAGCAAGACACGCGGTCCATGCTCGAGCGAAACTGGAAGGAACTCTTGGAAGACACGGAGAAGCGCCAGCAGGAGCTGTCTGAGAAGCAGATCCACTACAAGAAGGATTTGATTAAGACCGTGAATGCCTTCAAGAAAGACGTTGCCCGCTTCCGCGCCGAGTACGAGCGTTCCGGGCCCATGGTGAAGGGCATTCCGCCCCGAGAGGCCGTGGAGCGTCTCAAGCGCTTCAAGGAGGAGTTCGAGGTCCGAGACCGAAAGCAGGAGATCTACTACATCGGCGAAGATCTTTTCGGCGTTCCTCACCAGCGCTATCCGGCCCTTGACACAACGAGACAAGAGCTCGGCTATTTGTCCCAGCTTTACGACTTGTACGTTGCGGTCCTGGAGACCATCAAGGACTGGAGGGACTACCTTTGGTGCGACGTGGGCGAGAATATGGAGGAAATGCAGAAGAAGATCGACAACTTCGCTGGGCGCTGTAAGAAGATGCCCAAGCAGCTGAGAGAGTGGCCGGCCTACAACGAGCTGAAGAAGGAGATCGAGGATTTCCAAGGGGTGCTGCCTTTGCTGTTGGAGCTGGGGAAGCCAAGCATTATGCCACGTCACTGGCAGCAGGTCATGGACATCACAGGGAAGGATCTCCCAATCGACTCGGAGAACTTCAAGCTTCAGTCACTGATTGATGCGCAGCTCAACGAATTCACCGATGAGATCTCGGACATCTGCGAGGGCGCCGACAAGCAGCTTGTCATCGAGAGCAAGCTCAAGGAGATTTCCACCCAGTGGGAAGGCATGATGTTCGACTTCGGCACTTGGAAATCTCGTGACTATCCCTGTGTTCTCAGCGGCGCGAAGGTCGGGGAGACCCAAGAGGCCCTGGAGGAGACCATGATGAACCTGAACACAATGAATGCCCAAAGGCACTCGATCCCTTTCAAGGAGGAGCTCAATGGCCTGCTCTCCACGCTCTCAGACACAGGCGACACCATCGAGCGTTGGTTCAAGGTTCAGCAGATGTGGACCTCCCTGGAGTCAGTTTTTACGGGTGGAGATATCGCCAAGCAGATGCCCATGGAGGCCAAGAAGTTCCAGCAGATCGACAAAGACTGGCAAAAGATCATGCAGAAGTCGGCGGACGCGAAGTATGTGGTACCCTGCTGCCAAAACGACATGCTGAAGCAGATGCTGCCGGTGCTGTCCGAGGGCCTGGAGAAATGCCAGAAGTCCCTGGAAAGCTACCTCGAGGGTAAGCGGAACAAGTTCCCGCGTTTCTACTTCACCAGTGACCCGGTGCTGCTGAAGATTCTGTCGCAAGGTGAGAGATTCTAAACACACAAGGGGCCCTAATATAGAAGCCGAAGCACTACGGTTGATGATGTAAATCCTGCATTACCCATAACAAGGATTATACCATAATTCCCACAGTTTTGGGTCCGTAAAGTACTGCAGGATTTAAACCATCAGCAGCAGGACCCTGCATATAAGGAGCCCGATGAAAAGGAACACCGATGTTTCTGAAACCCGCCAGGTAGCGATCCGGAGAGCATCCAAGAGGACTTTGAGAAGCTCTTCGATGCCATCAACCGTGTCCAGTTTGACAAAGTCGACAGGAAAAAGATCATCAAAATCATGGAGACCCATGGCTCTGTGCAGGAAATCGTAGACCTGCAGGCGCCAGTACAGGCCCAAGGCAACATCGAAGATTGGCTCCTGGCTTTGGAGTCGGAAATGCAGCGATCCGTGCGACGAGAGTGCCGCATATGCTCGATGGAATGTGGGCAGGTGGCGGACAATAGCATGAACATGACGGACTTTGGCAAGAAGTGCATTGCTCAGGTGTCTTTGCTGGGCATCCAGCTCATCTGGACGGCAGAGTTCCAGGATGCACTGACGCGCATGGCCCGGGACAAAGACAAGGCGGTCATGCCCAACGCAAACAAGAAGTTCGTGCAGATGCTGACAGAGCTCGTCGCCATTTGCTTGACTAACTTGTCCTCGAAGATGGAGCGCACCAAGTTCGAGACTCTGGTCACTGTCCATGTCCACCAGAAGGACCTGTTCCAAGAGGTCTGGAAGAAGGCCCGAGACGGCAAGGTGAAGGACGAGAACGATTTCGAGTGGCTGAAGCAGACGCGGCTGTATTGGAAGCAAGAGACAGATCACGCCGTCGTTTCCATCGCCGACGTGGATTTCGTGTACTCCTACGAGTACCTGGGCTGCAAGGAGCGGCTGGTCATCACGGCCCTGACGGACCGATGCTATGTGACGCAGTCCCAGGCTCTGGGAATGTTCTTTGGAGGTGCGCCGGCAGGTCCGGCGGGAACCGGGAAGACGGAGACCACCAAAGACATGGGCCGCACTTTAGGAGTTTTCGTCGTGGTCACGAACTGCTCCGATCAGCATCGCTTCCGTGACATGGCCAAGATCTTCAAGGGGCTTTGCATGAGCGGCTTGTGGGGCTGCTTCGACGAGTTCAACCGAATTGAGCTCGAGGTGCTCAGCGTCGTAGCGATGCAGGTCGAATCCATCTGCTCTGCGAAGCGGCAAGCCGTTGCCACCTTCATGTTCCCAGGCGAGCCGGCACCCATCAAGCTGGTGCCATCAGTGGGATACTTCATCACCATGAACCCCGGTTATGCCGGCCGACAGGAGTTGCCGGAGAACGTGAAGGCGCTCTTCCGCAGTGTGGCCATGATGGTGCCCAACCGAGAGACCATCATGAAGGTCAAGCTGGCCTCTGTGGGCTACTCGCAGATGGATTTGTTGGGCAAGAAGTTCTGCATCCTCTATGCTCTATGCGAGCAGCAGCTGAGTAAGCAGAGGCACTACGACTTCGGCCTCCGAAACATCCTGAGTGTTCTGCGAACCTCAGGAGGCGTGAAACGATCCGAGCCACCCGATGCTGATGAGGAGATGCTTTTCATGCGTACCGTCCGTGACATGAACTTGTCCAAACTGGTTGCCGACGATGTGCCTCTCTTCTTGGCGCTGTTGAAGGATCTGTTCCCCAAGGTGACCGATCCTCCGAAGAAGGTGTACAAGAACGTGGAGGACGGATCTCGCGCTCTGCTTTCGAAGAACCTTCTGGTCGACTGGGACACATGGATGCTGAAGGTGATCCAGCTCTACGAGACCTCCCTGGTGCGACATGGCTTCATGCTTGTCGGCCCTACACTCTGCGGCAAGACTGAGATTCGCGAAATCCTGACCACATGTCTGCACAATGATGGTCTGGCACACAAGCAGGTGGTCATGAACCCCAAGGCGATCACTGACAGCCAGATGTATGGTTACAAAGACCCGATCAGCGAGGAATGGACACCCGGCGTGTTCGCCTCGATCTGGCAGCGCTACAACAACCGCGCTCTGAAGTACACGACCTGGATTGTGTGTGATGGACCGGTTGACGCCATCTGGATTGAGAATCTGAACACGGTCCTGGACGACAACAAGATTCTCACTCTGGCGAACAACGATCGAATTCCGATGACAGACAACTGCAAGATCGTCTTCGAGGTCCAGGATCTGAGAAATGCTTCGCCGGCCACGGTCTCACGCGCTGGCATCATCTACGTTTCGGCAAGCGACCTGGGGTGGCAGCCTATCACAGAAGCTTGGATGAATCGCCGGCCCGAGTTGAACAGCTCGCGACAGGCTGAAGTGGACATCCTGAAGCCGCTCTTCGACAGGTGGCTGAAATCCAAGCCGCCGAACTCGGGTGCTGCAGAAGACTTCTTCGATTGGTGCATGAGGAACATCAAGCTGGTGATGCCTTGCAACGACTCGATCCTCATCGTCCAGACGCTGAACCTCCTCTCGGCATCTCTGAGGAGCTATGTCGATGAGAACGCAATCCCGGCCGAGGACACCTATCGTCGCATCCTGGCCTGGTGCATCATGTGGGGTTTCGGAGGCCTTCTCGAGCCAGAGCCCCGGAAATTGATTTGGTCGAAGTTCGCTGAGATTCTGGAGGAAGCAAAGCACAAGGATGCAATTCCGCCTTGCGAGGAGGGCCAGACTATCTTCGAATGGGTGCCTGACTGGACTGACAAGTCGCGACCATGGAAGAAGTGGGAGCCTGAGGAGTGGAAGCCACCGAAGATCCTGAACTTCTCCGCTCTGCTCATCCCCACCATGGACTCCGTGAGAGCGGAGTACATCCTCGACATCATCGCCAAGCATGACGTGACGCGCACACCGCCATCATTCAAGTCTTGCATGATGGTGGGCGCTCCGGGCACAGCGAAGACGTCCACAGCGCTGATGTACATCAGCAGGTTCTCGCAGGACACCATGCTCTCCAAGCGATTGAACTTGAGCAGTGCGACGCAGCCTCTAGGCTTCCAGAAGAGCATTGAGGCAGAGATTGAGAGGAAGACAGGCAAGACCTTCTGCCCTCCGGGCGGGAAGAAGATGACGGTCTTCATCGATGATGCCGCCATGCCTTTGGTCAACAAGTGGGGAGATCAGATCACCAATGAGCTGGCCCGGCAGTTGGTTGAAATGTCTGGCTTCTACTTCTTGGACAAGGACACTTAGTAACTTAGTACTTAGGAATACTTCTTAATTTGGTTTTGGGTTACGATATTCCCTAAAATGCCTAAACGGGTCCCGAGTTCAGTACAGGACAAGCGTGGCGACTTCAAGAGCATCGAGGGTCTCCAGTACATCGGCGCCATGGGACATCCCGGCGGCGGCAAGAACGACATCCCCAACCGCTACAAGTCCAAGTTCATGTGCTTCAACATGGTCCTGCCCTCGACGGTGTCGGTGGACAACATATTCGGCAGTATCATGAAGTCCAAGTTCAGCACGAAGGCTGGTGCCAAAGCCGATGTGATCGACTTGAGCAAGAAGCTGACCGCCGCCACTGTGGACGTCTGGGACCGCGTGAAGTCAAAGCTTCTTCCGACACCTTTGCGGTTCCACTATATCTTCAACATGCGAGACTTGAGCCGAGTCTTCCAGGGCATCATGGAGTGTCCCGTGAACATCGTCACCGCGCCAACTGTTCTTGTCGGCCTGTGGAAGCACGAATGCCAGCGCGTGTTTGCGGACAAGCTGTGCCGAGATGTTGACAAGAATTTGGTGGAGAAGACGCTCACCGAGTTCATGCCTGTCCACTTTGGCGAGCAGCTGGCCGCCGAGAACAAGAGCACCGAGTGGTTCGCTGACTTCCTGCGTGAGATCGAGTACGACGATGAGACTGGGGAGGAGAAGGGTGCCCCGAAGGTCTACGAGCCAGCCGAGTGGGAGGCCGTCAAGGGCAAGGCCTACTACTACCTGGGCAAGTACAACGAAGCCTATCCGGCAAAGGCGATGCAGCTTGTCCTTTTCGACGAGGCGATGCAGCACTTGATGAAGATCAACCGTACCATTCAGCAGAAACGCGGCAGCGCCATGCTGGTGGGCGTCGGCGGCAGTGGAAAGCAAAGCTTAGCAAGGCTGGCTGCCTTCACATCAGCGCACTATGCCTTTCAGATCACCATCACCAAGACCTACAACGACAACGCTCTCTTCGAAGACCTGAAGGCTCTGTGTATCCGTGCAGGTGTGAAGGGAGAGAGTGTGACCTTCATCTTCACGGATGCCGAGATCAAGAGCGAGGGCTTCCTGGAGTACATGAACTCGCTGTTGGCAACTGGAGAGGTGGTCGGCCTCTTCGCCAAGGACGAGAAAGATGCCATGTGTGGTGATGTGCGAAACGATTTCGTCAAGGACAACCCGAATATGGAAGAGAACTTGCTGAACATGTACAACTATCTTATGGACCGTCTGCGAGACAACCTCCACGTCTGCCTTTGCTTCTCGCCTGTCAATGCTAAGTTCCCGATCCGTGCACAGAAGTTCCCGGCGGTCTTCACTGTGAACATCAACTGGTTCATGCCGTGGCCAGAGGCAGCACTGGTGGCCGTCAGCAGCGCCTTCTTGAGTACCTACAAGCTGGACTGCTCCGAGACTGACAAGGGACGTCTCTTTGCATTGACAGGGTCCTTCCAGGCCCTGACGCGAGATCTTTGCGACGTTTACTACACACGGATGCGCAAGAATGTCTACGTCACGCCAAAGAGTTTCCTGTGCCTCATTGACTTCTACAAAGTACTGTATACCATCAAGTACGAGGAGATCAATGTGCAGGAGAGGAGCGTGAATGTCGGCTTGCAGAAGCTGAAAGAGGCTTCCGAGTTCGTGGAGAAGTTAAAAGTTGAGCTGAAGGAGCAGGACGTGGTCTTGCGAGCTGAGGAGAAGAAGACCACGGCGCTGTTGGAGAAAGTCATGGCCGAGAAAGCCAAGGCGGATAAGAAGGCCGAGCAGGTGAACGCACAGAAGGCGGATTGTCAGGCAGAGGCCGACAAGATCAACGAAGAGAAGGCCGAGGCCCAGATCGAGCTGGACAAGGCATTGCCGTTCCTCCATGAGGCCGAGTCTGCCTGCAACTCCATCACCAAGAAGGATATCACTGAGATCAAGACCAACAACAAGCCTGTGGATATCATCAAGCTGACCTTCGATGGTTTGCAAATTCTACAGTCCAAGCCGGTCATCTCAGTGAAGGTCGATGAGAAGCTCATCAACAAGGTCCAGGCAACTTTCATCATGGACAGCTACGAGGAGTTTGCCAAGAAAGACCTGCAGGATATGAACTTCCTGAGCAACATCTTGGACTTTGCGGCTAACGAGAAGGATAACATCAACGACGAGACTTGCGAACTCCTCGAGCCATATCTGCGCTGGGAGGAGGAGCCAGCGAAGAATTGGAGTCCTTGGGCGCACAAGCCACTGGATCCAGACCTCGCGGGCAAGGCTTCCGGAGCGGCGGCCGGACTGTGCAAGTTCGTCGGAGCTATGGTCATGTACCACGGTGCCGCCAAGATTGTGAAGCCCAAGATGGATGCCCTAAAGGTGGCAGAAGCTCGACTGGCGAAGGCCATGGGCGAGCTGGGCGCTGCCGAAGCGGAGCTGAACAAGGTGCTTGCGGAGGTCGCAGAGTTGGATGCGGAGTTGGCCAAAGCGCAGGGCGTCATGAATCAGCTCAAAGAGAGTGCTGCAGCAATGCAGCGGCAGATGGATGCTGCGAACAAGCTGCTGTCCGGACTCTCCGGCGAGAATGCGCGATGGACCGAAGACTCCAAGAATTTCGCACTGAGGCGCAAGAGGCTGATTGGTGATGTGGGCTGCGTTTGCGCCTTCGTGGTCTACTGCGGGCCTTTCAACTCTGAGTTCCGCGACAAGCTATACAGCCAGTTCCAGCAGGACACGCAGAAGAGGCAAGTCCCCGCGCATGAGAAGGTGGAAGTCGTCTCTTTCCTTGTGGACCAGGGAACCATCGGCGAGTGGGCGCTTGAAGGTTTGCCGAGTGATGAGCTTTCCATCCAGAATGCCATCATGGTCACGCGCTCCTCGCGCTATGCTCTGATGGTCGACCCGCAGGGACAGGCCAATCGCTGGATCAAGTCCAGAGAGAAAGCCCGAATCAGTGAGAACCCGACGATGTGCATCACGACACTGGCAGCCAAGAACTTGAAGGATCAGATCGAGTTCACCATGGGTGAAGGGCTCTGCCTCATCATCGAGAACGTTGAGAATGAAGTCGACCCGATGCTTGACCCGGTTTTGGACAAGCAGATTATCAAGAAGGGCAAGAACCTCTACATCAACGTCAGTGATCAGAACATGGATTACAAGGAGAACTTCACCCTCTACTTCACCTCCCGATTGCCGAATCCCCACTTCTCACCGGAGCTCTCTGCGAAAGCAACGGTCATCGACTTCACGGTGACGCTGAAGGGCTTGGAGCAGCAGCTGCTGGGTAAGCTTATTGGGATGGAGATGAAGAGCCTGGAGGACACACTGGCGGCTCTCGAAGAGGACGTCACAAACAACACCAAGTCCTTGCAGCTTTTGGACAAGCAGCTCCTGGAGCGTTTGTCCAACTCTCAGGGTAACCTCTTGGAAGATACGGAGCTGATCGAGGTGCTGGCCAACACCAAAGCCAAGGCCAAGGAGGTCGAAGGCAAGTTGAAGGAGGCCGACGAGAGGAAGATCGAAATCAACGAGAAGCGAGAGCAGTTCCGACCTGTGGCTACCCGCGGCAGTATCATGTACTTCAACATGACAGACATGACCAACGTGGTGAACCCCATCACGAACCAGTGTTCCGGATGGATGTACAACTGCTCGCTGCTGCAGTTCCTCGAGCAGTTCGAGATTTCGGTCCGCAACAGTGAGAAGTGCCAACCGACCTCGAAGCGAGTGGAGAAGATCATCCATTTCCTCACATACCAGGTCTACAGGTACATGAACCGCGGCCTCTATGAGCGCGACAAGATGCTCTTCAAGCTACTTGTGACCCTGAAGATCATGACGGTGGCCGGCCAGATATTGTCCGGGGATGTGTCCATGTTGCTGAAGGCTGGATCTTCCTTGGACAGCAAGGCGGAGCGTCCGAATCCTTTCGGCAAGTGGCTGCCGGACAAGGTGTGGCTGAACGTCATCGCCCTCTCGCGCCAACCCTTCGGCCCCGACCAGATCGTGTTCTTCCGGGAGATCCAGGACTTCATGCAACGGAATGAGCAGGCCTGGAAGAAGTGGTACGACGAGAACGAGCCGGAGGGCGTCCCGATTCCGGACTACGACGAGCGCATCAACATGGACAGAACTTTGGGGCCCTTCCTGCGGCTGGTCGTGGTAAGGTCCATGCGAGAGGATCGAACCACGATTTCCTGCAACCAGTTCATCGAAGCGATGCTGGACTCGCGCTTCACGGCCCCCGTCACAGATGGAATCGCCGACATCTACGAGGAGTCGCTGGCCCGAAAGCCAGTCTTGTATCTGCTCACGGCAGGCAGTGATCCGACCTTCAGCATCGATGAGTTGGCGAAGAAGAAAAAGAAGTATCCAACTGACAAGGTGTCCATGGGAGAAGGCCAGGAGAAGGTGGCTCGCGAGAAGAACAATGCAGCCTTCGTTACTGGTGGCTGGGTGATTCTGCAGAACTCGCACCTGGGTATTGGCTATATGTGCGAGCTGGAGGATGTTCTTCTGAAGACCCCCGAGATCGACGAGGCATTCAGGCTGTGGATTACCTGCGAGATCACCCTCCGCTTCCCGATCGGCCTGCTGCAGATTGCCATCAAGGTGACCCTGGAGCCTCCCGCGGGATTGAAAGCCGGCTTGTACCGAACCTACAGCACCATGGTCTCTCAGGAGCTTCTGGACAAGATTGACTTGTCGCAGTGGCGCACGCTGGTCTATGTGCAGTCCTTCTTGCACAGTATCGTGCAGGAGAGGCGCAAGTTCGGCCCCATCGGCTGGTGCATTCCTTACGAGTACAACAACTCCGACCTCGACGCCTGCCTTCTCTTCCTGGAGAAGCATGTCTCCACCACCATCATGGCCGGCTCACCGATTTCATGGGTGACCGTGCAGTACATGGTGGCCGAGGCACAGTACGGTGGTCGTATCACGGACGACCTGGATCGCGAGTTGTTCAATACCTACACCGCCAAGTGGTTCTGCGACGACATTTGGAAGCCGTCCTTCGCGTTCAACAACTATCAGTCGGATTACAACTACAAGATCCCTGATGCCGTTACCATTGACATCCAGCAGTTTAAGGAAGCGATTGACACCATTCCCCCAGTCGACTCGCCTCTGATCTTCGGCTTGCACACGAATGCGGATTTGACATACCGCATGAAGGAGGCCTCAGAGATGATCACCACCATTATTGAGACGCAGCCGAAGGACAGCGGCGGCTCAGGAGGCAAATCTACGGACGAGATCGTTAAGGACCTCTGCCTGGACCTTCTGACGAAGATGCCTCCAGACTTCGTGGAGGAGGTCTTCCGTGCGCAGATCCAGAAGCTGAAGGGGCCTCCGCTCACACCGGACAAGGGTTTCGCAGCTCCTTTGAACATCTTCCTGTTCCAGGAGCTGCAGCGGCTGCAGAACATCATCGCCATCGTGCGCACAAACCTGAAGAGTGTGGCAGCTGCGATTGACGGCACCGTGGTGATGACAACAGAGCTCATGGAAGACCTCGGCTTCCTCTTCGATGCGCGTGTGCCGAGAGGTTGGACCAATGACCCCTCCGGCGCAGAGATTTCTTGGCTCATGCCCAACCTGGGAGGCTGGTTCACCGGCCTCACCGAGCGTCAAGCGATGCTCAACAACTGGCTGGAGAATGGCCGCTCGGTCATGAAGGCCTATTGGCTGACTGGCTTTACCAATGCGCAGGGCTTCTTGACGGGCATGCGACAGGAGGTGACGCGGCAGCACAAGAAGGACCAATGGGCCCTGGATGATGTCATCTCGCATACAGAGGTGCTCCCCTACGACATGGAGCGGATCCGGGAAGTTCCTGAGGAGGGACAGAACATCTGGGGTCTCTTCATTGAGGGCGGCCGCTGGAGTCGACAAGACAGCAGGATCGAAGAGTCCGAGCCCAAGAAGCTGTTCACGTCAATGCCCGCGATCTTTGTCACGGCCACGACAGCAAAAGACCTCAAAGCCATGGGATTGAACTATGGCCCCAACGGCCCGTACAATACCGCCGTCTACAAGTATCCGAAGCGCAATGACCGTTACCTCATCTTCCGCATGATGCTCCGAACGGAGGTTCATCCTTATCACTGGAAGCTTCGCGGTGTCTGTCTCGTGGCACAGACGGAGTGAGAGACTGTGGAGCTACCGCACTTTGAGCGCCGCTGTCGCGGGGGAATGGGCAAAGAAAGTGAACCAGCATGCATTGCGGGTTCAAGGATTTGTAGCGCTGAGTACATGCTAGGACCAACCGTCTAGAATCAAAGCCAGTGCGACAGCATCTCAGCCTCAGCCGCTTCCCCGTGGCCATTGCGCATGAACTAAGTAGGAGGTGAAAAGCCTCGACGCCATTTTCTTGCCTGGTGCTTGCCACTTGTGTAGAGAGAGGAGGTCCTGATTCAGACATGGACAGACTATCTCATGGCAGAGCGTGCCAAGGCCGATCGGCTTAGCAAGGTGTCCGTGTAACGGCCTCACTCTCTCTGCACTCTGCATGCCGGAAGAGTTAGAGCAGAAGACAACCGGAGTCGGTGGGCATAAATACAGAAAAACTAACCTCCAGCCTTGTGAGATGGCTCATGAGTGTAGAGTTGGTCGAGTCACGTTTTCGTCTTCTGCCAGCACTTCCAGTGGCATGCTACCCAGCGGAACTGATTCCTTTGCATGCCCCA